GTGGGCAAGATGCAGCAGGAGAGTGAAGTTGCTGCTTGCTACGCTGGGTGCAGTCAGGAAGCTGGGTGAGATGATGCTGGTGTTCCGCTGGCTCCAGAACCTGTCAAGGCTGGAGATACAACTCCACTGATGGCCGGCTTGCCTTGCCAGCATGAAACTGTAGGTTCCTTCCCAGCAGTCCATTGGGTGGGGCCACCCACATTCAAGTGTGAGTCAATAAAGACTGGCCATCATAGCCATGTAGCGGCAAAATGACAGAAAGCATAGATTTCACTTTCAAGTATTCCAGGAAATCAACAAAAGGAATAAAGCAAATGTAGCCAAATCTTGACAATGAGTTGGATGATGGTGATATATGGTTTTCTGTAGTCTCGATGTTTGTGTGTTTAAAGTATATACCTTTCAACCTGTAATATGTGCTTAAATAGGAAAAGCTACCACATGGTTACATGGACCTTTTGCCCACTAAAAGGACTCATGGTGGCATCAGTCTTAAATCTCCTTTCATAGTAATATCCCACACATATACAAGGAAAATATGGTGATAAATTCAATGAAGATGCAGACAGGATAATTACCATAGAGTATAATTAATATTTTGCAATTATTTCAGAGGGAACACCATGGAAAGAACACAGCCCTTCACTGTAAGAACAGTGGTCCCAATGCCAAGCACAAACTGGCAGCTTCAATATTTCTTAATGAATACATTGCTCTCATCCAGTGCTATGAAAGAGACCCTGTCTCAAAAAACAAAATAAAACCAACCAACAAAACAAACAAACAAAAAATGAACACCCAGTGCTCCAGAATTTTCCCCCCAGTTTTGGGAATGAGTCCAATGAAAGAGCAAATTAAAACCAAAAGGCTTTTAATAATCATGAAGCCATTTGGGATCCGGGCCTACGCATGGGATCTGTTTTATATAACAGCATTAGCATTTATGAGCCAGACTAGTGCTACATGATGGCTTGAGCTGGACTCACTGGCATTTGTGGGCTCAACACACAATGATGACACACAAACGCTTTCTTGGGGACAGACAGCTGCTTGGAATTTCTACTATACACTCTGCAGTCATTTCTTTCAGAAAAACTGACTTGCTGATTAGTAGGCATATAAAATACAAATCAATTTGTAAGAAATTTTGTTTTCCAACATAAGAATATAAAGGAGTATAATGGAGCTCCAAACTTGTTTTATTTCTGCTATTATTTTAGGTATTGGAACTGGTGAAATCAATCTGTGGCCAAGTATTTGTCATGTGAATCTAGCAACCTGAGTTCAATCAATGAAACCCACCTATAAAGGTGGAAGGAGAAAACACATTCCACCTTTTTGGTTTTTTGTTTGTTTGTTTTGTTTTGTTTTTCCGAGACAGGGTTTCTCTGTGGCTTTGGAGGCTGCCCTGGAACTAGCTCTGTAGACCAGGCTGGCCTTGAACTCACAGAGATCAGCCTGCCTCTGCCTCCCAAGTGCTGGGATTAAAGGCATATGACACCAACACCATGCCATATTCCACCTTTGACCTGCACATGTGCACCTCTTAGCATGCACACACACACACACACTGTGTAACAATAAAAATATTACTTTACCTAAGCAAAAGATTTATGCCCTGAAGTTAACAGTGGCCCACAATTTACACCTCTCATACGGTCATATTCATTTATGGTTTGAATATGAGATGGCCCCTGACAGGCTCATGTGTTTTGGAAGGCTGTGGGAATCTTTGGAAGGTATGGACTAGCTAAGAGAAGTGGATCTTTGGGAGTGGGCCCTGAAGGGTATGTGTGTCTGTTTCCAGTCTAGGCCACATGCTTCCTGATATGCTGAGATGTGAGGAGCTGTGGCTTCATATGTCCACCACCGTGGAGCTGGTTCAACAAGATGGACTGTTGCCTCTGAAACTGTGAACCAAAATCAAGCCCTTCTTCCTTAAGATGCTTCTGTTGGGGTGGGGTTTTTTTTTTTTTTGGTTTGTTTGTTTTTTTGTTTTAAGATTTATTTATTATGTTATTATGTATACAGTGTTCTGTCTGCATATAACCCTGCAGACCAGAAGAGAGCACCAGGTACCAGATCTCATTACAAATGGTTGTGAGCCATCGTGTGGCTGCTGGGAATTGAACTCAGGACCTCTGAAGGAGCAGCCAGTGCTCTTAACCTCTGAGCCCATCTCTCCAGCCCCTGTTGGGTGTTTTTATTGTAGTAATGAGAAAAGTAATACAGCCATCTGTCAAAAATATGCATCTTGGTGTCCTTATTCTGCCCTCTTCTGCCTTTGCTTAACCCCGTTTCCAGCCGTCCTTTGTCATTTCCATTTACTAATTCACCGTGCATGTAGTGAACACGACTATGTATCAGGCACAGATCTGAGTATTACAAGTGTGAACAAGATGCTGCCTGTGACCATTTGATGCTTATATTCTAGTGAGAGAGGAAATAATAAATAAGATTAGGAAAAGATAGTACAATGAATAGCAAGAAAAAAAATACAGAGTGGAAAGATGGAGGGTCACAGGTTATAGAGTGAGCAAGAACCTGCTGTAGGCTCAGTGGCTAGGCCAGCCTCACAAGTAAGTGACATCTGACCTATGGGAGGCAGAGAGGCATGGGTTGGGGAGGGGATGAGGGTGGCTTTCCTCAGTGTTTACTGCTTTTATAACTTTGGGAGCCTGGGCTTTCGAATCTTGTAGCTTTCTGGGTCTTAGAACATACCTCTTTTTTGGGAGAGAAGGAAGTGTTTACGTTCTAAGGAAACAGTTCACATTTGGACATGTTTAATTTTACTTGCGCATAATACATTTAAACCGGATGTCCAAACTGCAGGCACACACCATGAGGCTGAAGTACTGGGGTTAAAGTCAAGGCCTGGATTCCCATTCGGGAACAGTCAATACCCAGATGTGATTTAAAGCTATGGACATTGACAAGATCATCACCCTTACAAAATCCCAGGATTCCTAAGATTAGAGGTCAGGCAGAAGAGAAGGCAACCAAGGACAGCAACTCAGAACTTACAGTGACACTGCATCCACAGAGAGCTGGTTTCTTTGCCAAGCACCGCTCAAAGCACTTTGTGGTTTCAAATAAAGAGGAAAAAACGTTTTTCATTTTTTCCTTTTCTCTCTCCTGTCACACTCTGCTCCCCCCCTGCCCCGCCCCGTGGCTTTTTAAACCTGACCTCAACAGGGGTTGAGTGAAATGCTTTTCAACTTTTATTTATGATTATAAAGTCATATATTCGTCAGAAAATCTTCAATCAACACAATACAGGAATGCTAACAGTGAAAGTAAGATCTGCAGAATTTTTCCTCCCTGGCCTTAGCCACCAAAGTAACTATTAAATTTCTTCTATACCTTCCAAGAATTACACACACACACACACACACACACACACACACACACACACTGCGTGTATGTGAGTGTGCTCCTTAAAAAACAAACAAACAAATTCAAGTTCTCATTCTACATAGATTTCTTAACTCAGTGCTCGTCTATGTAGCCCAGGGTGGTGGTGAACTTGATACCTCTCATGCCTCAGCCTTTCCCAGGATTACTGACGTGTACCACCACACTTAGCTCATTTTGTAGATATTTCCGTATCAGTACACTTAGATCTATTCTACTCTTCATCTGTGAGCAATTCCGTTGCCTCTGCTTATTTTTTAACGTTCTTTTACCACCCCCAAACCTCTTTGTAGATACATCTTTGGCTACTTCTGTAAAAATATTGGTGGGCATTTTCCTGGTCGTGGAAGAGCAGAACAGAACCACATAAAGCATATCATGTCATTCCTCTTCCCTAGAGGTTACACAGCATTTCTAACTCCTTCTTTCTCATGCATTGGTCAACCACTGGGATTAACCAACTTTAAGAGTCTGCCAACCAGATCGAGGGCAGATGGCTCAGTGGGTAAGAATGCTAGTTGTGCAAGCATGTTGTTAGCAGCAATTGTGTAAAAAGCCTGCACCTCTGTAAGAGGACTGAGACCCAAGGATCACAGAGCTTGCCTGGTGTCAATCTAGAGTTCTCCAAGCTCAGTGAGAGATCTGTCTCAAGGGAATAGGGTGAAGAATGATGGAGCAGGGCAAGAGATGTGGTCCTCTGGCCTACTCCTGTCAAGCTCCACCCCCTCACACACAGAGCTTGCCAAGCAAGGGCCGGAAGATTGATGTTCTGTTGTCTAGTCCGATTATGAGTAGGCAACAGGCCGGATTGTTAAATATGCAGGTTGTGAAGTTAGACTGCCTGGATCCTAGCTGTCTCTGTTTCTCTGTGGTCCTAGGACCCAGAAATTCCTAGAAATTGATATAGGATCTTACTTGTGACAGGCATGCACTCTACCACCAAATTACATTCCCAGGTCTTGGGTCAGTCGGTCTCTCTCTCTTCTCTCTCCCCACCTCTCCCCGTGTTTTGTTTTTCAAGATAGGGTTTTTCTGTGCTGTCCTATAATTTACCTTGTAGACCAGACTGGCCTCGAACTCACAGACATCTGCCTGCCTCTGCCTCCTGAGTGCTGGTATTAAAGGCGTGCGCTACCAATGCTGGCCTCTGGATCTTTCTCTTAAAATGTGTTCTGAGGAATTTGGGAACATTTCATCTCAAAAAAGAAAAGGGACAGCGAGTGCACGGATCTTCACGATTCTAAAAGATGTGAGAGGCAGGAAGCCCTCCGTTCTGTCTACTAGTCTCAATTCCTCACAACCTTGCTCCAGGGTTTCATTTTTAGTGTCCTCCCCAGCGGCAGCAGGGGTTGCACAACTGTCTTGTCGTGAGTAACCCTGAAGTTAAAGCACAGTTGGCTTCTGTTCCCTAAAACCACGAGAGCAGGAGAAAGGCAAAACTCCCTGTGACCTCCGGGATCCGAACCCTCAAAAGCCCTAGTGCTCCCCGGACGCCGGCGGCAGACCTCTCCGCCCCTCCTCTCAGGCGAGGCCACGCCCTCTCCCTTCCACCGGAAATGACGCGCGGGCCGGCTAGTTCTTCTTCCGCAGTCGGCCGGCGGCGCGGCCCAGGCAGGCCTGCTCCGGGCGTGCGTCGTCTCTGCGGGCGGCGGGGGAATTCTGGGTAACGACCGTGGCCGGCGGGGCGGCTGGCTCCGCCCAGCGGGTTCTACTCACGCCCGGGCAGTTGGCGGTGGCGGTTGTCCGGCCCGGACCAGCGGGACATGGAGCAGCCGTGGCCGCCGCCGGGCCCCTGGAGCTTCCCGAGGACTGGCGGGGAGGCCGCGGAGGAGAGCGACCTGGACGTGTCCCCCTCTTCTTCCCACTACCCGCCGGTGCCTGGCGGCGGCGCCCAGGTGAGAGCAGCCTGCGTTCTGGGGGGGGGGGATGGGATGGAGGGGACGCCCGCGGGCATCGCGGGGGCCCGGTGCCCGCCCCCAGCGCTGCCCGCACCTTCCGCGAGGGAGGAGGTGGCCACGCGACCTCCACGTCCTCGCACACTTGTCCCCTCACCTTTGCAGGAGGTTCCTGCGCTCCCTCTGGTGTCAGCCGGGATACGGGGGCAGCCCGGGCCGAGTAACATTGACCCTTTGTCCTCTTGTTCGTGCCTTCATGCGAGCCTTTATTACACAGTTGATGGGGACAGCGAGTGATTGTACTTCCATAGTAGTACACCGAGTCCCGACATAAACATCTCACGTGCGCCTTCCCATGCTGACATCTCAGCAAACGCTGCAAGCCTCTCTCTCTGGACTCCGGCACACGCCTCCCTTTCGCTCAGTCATGGGTCCCTTACTGTAAAAATTGTTTCGTTCCTCCAGTGAAATTGGCTTTTCTTTCAGGCTTCTACCCCAAGTTCCTGATACTACTTGCGGTTTTCAGCTCAGCCTTCCTGCCTCAGAAACTGCCAAGTGTGACATGTGGTTTACACTTTTTTTTTTTTTTTCTGCGAGTGCTTGCTTCTCACCCCGGTGTGTTTTGGACTAGATTTCAAGAGCACAGACGAAACACTAATCTGTTCAGTGAAATTGCTTGTAGATATTTTTTTTCTAGGTTTTTTTTTTTTTTTTTTTTTTTGCAAAATGCGGCTCAATGAACAATAGCCCCCCCTCCCATTTTAAATAAAGATGACCGTTTTAAATTGTGTGCCAGCAAGTGTGGGATAATGGTGTTATGTCAGCCAGCTGAGTTAACTGGGCTCACACAACAGTATGCTGTTTCATAACCACAGGCTATCTATGTTCATCCAGCTAGTCACAGGGAAAGTGAGGCAAAATGGGAGTTGATGGGTCAGTAGTCACCCGCTAATTATGGCTCACTAGTGTCATCTGTGTGTACATAGTATTACAGTAGGAGAACATGAACAATTGCTTGGATCAGTTTGAACAGATGTGTGGAGGGAAAATGATCTCAGGAATTACATTGCACTGTGGTTGAATCAAAGAAGTAACCCAAGAAATTCAATATTTTAAGACACGTTTTACCAGTGCATTTGTTCAGGTTTAAAAGTAAAGAGGCTTTTATTTCCTTCATTAAAAGATGTTTCCCTGAGGTCATCTAGTTAGTGGCAGACTCCCCACTATAGATAGCTCTTGTCCAGTGTTTTTCCCAACCTACTTCTGCACTGCCTATCTGGAGAAATACTAAAAATTTTATTGTATGAGAAGGCCTTTAAATGGTGGTAAAATCTGCAGAGTCATTATTCCTAAGGACCTATAATAATTACAAGCCTACTTATATTTCTTGATAGCTTTAGGACTTAAATTTGGAGCTTAGAATATTTAAAGACAAAATGTTTAATCAACAGACTTTTAAAATCCATATTAAATGGCTGGCTTAATTTTTATCAAATATGAGAGATAGTGCTCTCTCAGTATAACAAGAGATGTGTGAAAAGGCAAGCCAGAATTTGGAAGTCCTATTTAAGAATTTGTAGAAATTATTATATCCTTTTTAGTTGAATTTTTCATACATTATGTTTTGATCACGTTTTTCCACTCTCCTAACTCCTTCCAGATCTTCCCCACCTCTCTACCCAAGTAAAAATCAAAATCAACAAGCAAAAGACCAGTAAGAATAAATAAATAAAAATCTATAAAGCTAAAATGAAATGTCCACAAAAACCCATTAAGTTTATTTTGTGTTGATCAACTACTCCTTAGCATAGGGTCTGCCCTGGAGTACAGTTGATGGGACCCAGTGACATGCCACTCAAAGTGGTTTTCTCTCTCCTGGCAGGTATCAGTTGCACATTGCTTCTTGGTTAGGGGTGAAGCCCGTGCCCTCTTAGCCCTCTCAGTGCTGGGACCCTGTCTGACTTGCTGTTTGAGAACTTTTGATATAAAGTTACAACAGTAAACTTTAATAATAACAGTTCCTTTGCAAAGTTTTTATTCATTAAAATTTATGTCCCTCTAAAATTTTATATGATCACAGAGTAAAATAAGACCTAATGTGGCCTAGGACTGTAGCTCAGCAGAGAGTTCTTAACCCTAACACGGGTTAAATTCCCTGTATTGCATTCTTTTTTAACTCATTATACTTAGTCATCTCAATGCATGTTGGATAGTATTACCAAATGGTTAGTATATACCAAATAGTATAGGGGTAGTCTATGGAGAACAATTTGAATATAAATCATTCTATTATTAGGTTTGATTTAAGAAATAATTGCTTCTATTTAATTAGAAAGTGAAGATACCCCATTTATTTACAATTGCCTTTATTGGTGTAGTTTTGTCTTTTGCAAATAACATTTTACAGCTTAATTTTCCTCCTTTATCTGGCTCCTTTTTAAAGTGTAGTTACCTTATAATTTTTCTTTTGTTATATAAGTGTTTTGCTTGCATCCCATGCATTCCTGATGCCTGCCAAGGTCAGAAGAGCGTGTTGGATGCCCTGGAGTTACAGGCAATTATGAGGCATCATATAGGTGGGAGAAATGGAAACCAGGTTCTGTACAAGAGCAGCAAATGCTCTTAACCACTGAACCAACTCTCTAGATCCATAATGTTTTTGGTGTGTCAAAAAGTAAAATTAAGCGTTTTACTTGTTTATTTAGAGATATTGGTGGTATCTGGGCTTTAAGCCCTCATGGTGACTAAATAAGGAACTAGGATAGCAAGAGTCCGAATACATATACTGTAGAAATCCTGAATGTGCCTGCAGATTCAGGAAGTAGGAGAGCCTTGTTTACTGCCTGCCTCAGAACAGTTTGTTCAAGAAGTAAAGATTGGTTTATTTATCTAACAGTTATTAAATTCTAACTCCTTACAAAGCTGGTAGTCAGAGAGAAAAATAAGTATATATCATGTTAAAAATAAGTACCACTGCTGGGCAGTGGTGGCCCATGTCTTTAGTCCCAGCACTCAGGAGACAGAGGCAGGAGGAATTTCTGTGAGTCCGAGGCCAACCTGGTCTACAGAGTGAGTTTCAGGATAACCAGGGCGAGGTACACAGAGAAACCCTATCTCAAAAAAAAAAAAAAAAAAAAAAAAAAAGCCACCAAAAAACACACCATACAAATGTGTATACCTTGGGTTTGGAGAGAATAAGGCTTAAGAATTGGCCGTAAGTTATAGGACAGAGGGTTGTTGGTGAAAAGGGAAAACAGGGTCTTAAGGGTGGGAAGAATAAGTAAAAGTAACTGGAACTTAGGGGTCTAGTCATCATCATCATCTCTAATAATGGACTCTAGTAAATAACATGAGTCCCCCTCCTTTGAAGGATGTAAAATTGGAAAGGCTTGAATACTGAAACAGGTGTGGGAACAGATTAACAACAGTGGTTCTCACTAAGTAATGTAAAATTGTGCTTGTAACGAAGAAATCCTAAAAAAAAAAAAAAAAAAAAAAAAACCAGCCCTAGGCTTTTGTTGAAACAAGAAGTATAAGGAATTAAACATCTATTGCATTTACATAAGTAGTTACACAAATATTAAAAGTAATCAGTTACTCCCCAGTAGAGCAGAGTGATTTAACCTTTACTTTTTTGATTTAGATTAAGCTGATGTATGACAATATGATACAATCATTTATAAAGTTTTCTATTTAGAACTCTCACATCACAAATTGTGATAACACAGAAACAATAAATTATTGCTTTGAAGTAAAAGGATGTTCAGTGTGGGTAGAACCGGCAGGTTGAAGCTCTGAAGGTCTGGTTTTCAGGATGAAGAGCCATAAAGAACTGAGGAACCAGACTAAACTTTGCTTTCCTTCTGGTGAAGAGTTCTGGAGCCTGCACATCTGATGCTTGTTGTGGGCCAGCTGTATGCAAGTTACTGACAGTTGCCAGGCTTTGTGTTGTTAGTTGTCAGGGGAGGGGCGTGGATGAACAAAGCAGCTCAGAGTCTGTTGGTGAATGTAAAATGTAATTGCAGACAAAGAGTACAGATATGCCGTGTTCCAGAAAGGTCACACAGAAATCCTTTGAGTTGAAAAACCGTGTACCGTGTCATTGCTGCCACCACATTCCTTACTAAAACTGTCGTTGATATTCTTTATTTAGATGTATAGCGATGGGATTGAGCTGGCTTGCCAAAAGCAGAAAGAATTTGTGAAGAGCTCTGTGGCGTGCAAATGGAATCTTGCTGAAGCCCAGCAGAAACTTGGCAGCTTAGCCCTGCATAACTCTGAGTCCTTGGATCAGGAACATGCCAAAGCCCAGACCGCTGTGTCAGAACTGAGGCAGCGGGAGGAAGAATGGCGACAGAAAGAGGAGGCTCTTGTCCAAACAGAGAGGATGTGTCTCTGGAACATGGATGCCATTAGCAAGGATGTTTTTAATAAGGTATGATGATCCTTTGTTGGACCACAAAGAAAGAAGAAAAGGGGCTGGGTATGTGGCTCAGAGGTAGAATGTGCAAGAGGCCCTGGGTTCCATTCCCAGCACCACAGATAAAAAACAAAGAAGGAAAAGCAAACACTTCTGTAAATAACTGTTAGCAAAGCAATTATAGAGAGTCCTGTTAAACAGCAAACATCTCCAAGCCTTGCTTTCTTCAATATCTAGGGTAGCTGGGAAGATTAATTAAGTCAGGTGACATCTCAAAAGGTGACATGATGTTGTGGGCCTGTGCACTGCCCCTGGCAGGTGAGCACTTCCTGATTGTGGCTCTCAGTTCCCTGTCAGTTCTCTGGCACACGTAGTCACTGGATTTGTAAATAAAGTTGTTCAGTTTGGCAGCACAGGTTTAGTAAACTCGAGTAGCAGTGCCCCTCCCCCCATTTCAATTTTGTTCTACTGTTATGTAAAGTCATTTTCATGCGGGTATACAGTGTACTTTGATATATCCTCCTCCATTCTCCCTTTTCTCACCTCGATGCCCTTAGGTAGTTGCACATTGTCTGTACTTTAGTGGTTTTGTACATTTATAGAACACGGAGGGCCTACACATGAGGGAAAAGAGGCAGTATGATTATTTCCAGGTGTAATTTATTTTTCTACAAGTCATATAACCTCATTTTTTTATGGTTATAAAACAATGTGTTTTATATTCATGCATGTAGGCTTATATATGTATTGGTGTATGTTTAATTTCACTTTATCCATTTAGCTATTGGATACCCATGTCAGTTCCATAACTTAGCTGTTGTCCTAGCTAATAAAATAGTACTTCAACAACATTTGATGTGGTAACTGACAAGTCTTTTTTTTTTTTTTTTGTATTGTTTTGGAACTTGTCCTGGAACTCACTCTGTAGACCAGGCTGGCCTTGAATTTACAGAGATTTGCCTGCCTCTGCCTCCCAAGTGCTGGGATTAAAGGCATCTGCCACTAACGCCAGGCCGCCCTACAGCCTTTTAGGTAAATATCCAGGAGTAAGATAGCCGGGCCATAAGGAAGATCTATTTTTAGTTTCTTGAGAAACCTACATTCTCACTTCCATAGTAGCTGGACTCTCATACATCCCTATATTATATAAGTGTTCCCTTTTGTCTTTAACCTTGCCAGCATTTGTCGTTACTTCTTTTTGTAATGACTGGTGTTCTGGTTGGGGGTGAGATGGGATCTCAATATAGTTTTGATTTGCACTTCTTGGATGGCTGGTAGTGTTCAAGTTTTTTCATATATTTTTAGCCGTTTGTATTTTATCGTTTGAGACTTGCCTGCTCATTCCATTAGCCCATTTGTTGATTGGGATGTTTTATTTCTTGTTATTCAGTATTTTGGTTCTTTGTATACTGTAGTAAAAGATATTAGGGGCAGTGAGACAGGTCAGCAGGTAAATGTGCTTGCAAGTCTAATGACCTGAGTTTGATCTTTAGGACCTACATGGTGAAGGGAGAAACTTGGAGATTGTCTTCTGACCACCACACATGTTCTATGGTATGTTCACACAGGCATGTGCACACACAAACACATACATATTTTGCTCATGCAAAATAAATAAGTAAATGTAATAAAGCATTTTAATTAAAACAGGTAGTTGACCTCTGTCTGAGGTAGAGCAGACTCATTTTATCTCATTTTGTAGGCTGTTTTTTAGACCTGTCTAAGGTATATATAGCTAACACATTTTTATCTCATTTTGTAGGCTATCTCTTTGTTTTTCTACATGAAAACTTTGTATAAAGTCTAGTTAATTGCTGGTGTTATTTCTTGAGTGACTGGAGTCCTATTCAGACTGTTGCCTGTGTCATTATCTTGAAATGTTTTCTGTACCTCCTTTAGTAATGTCGAAGTTTCTGGGCTCACATTAAGTAAGGTCTTCAATCCATTTGGATGAGTGATAAGGAGCTACATTCTTGCACGTGTGTATATCCAGTTGTGCCACTACGACTTGAAGAGGCTGTCTGCTCTCTGATATATTAATTTATTTTTGGCATCTTTGTCAGCTGTGGCTATATGGTAGAATGCTGGGTTTTTGTTTGTTTGGTTTTTGTTTTTTTACTGTGGCTCCAGTACAGTTGAAATCAAGTACAGTGGTAACTCTAGCATTATTCTTTTAACTCAGCGTTGTTTGGGCTATCCTGTGTTCTTCTGTGTTCCCATTTGAATTTTTTGCATTTTTTTATTCCTCTCTATCTGTGAAGAAACACATTGAGATTTTGATGGAGATTATATTGAATCTGTAGTTGCTTTTGGTATGATAGCCATTTTCACAATATTAAATCTTCTAACCTATCAACCTAAGAGAGCTTTCTTTCCTCAGTGTTTTAGGGTTTTTACCATAGATAATTTCTTTTTACTTCCTTGAATAAAGTTAGGTTTATTCTAATGTCTTTTGTTTTTGCCTGTATTTCTCAGCATACTAGTCTATAAGCTACTGATTTTTATGTTAGTTTTGTCCTACCATTTTTTCTGAAAGTATATCAAATTAAAGATATTTCTGGTGTAGTCCGTAGGGTCACTGACAAATAGAATTATATTATTTACAAATAAGAACACATTTACTTTTTTCCTTTCCTAGTCTTTAAGAATGAAAAAAATTCCTACTTGGCCTGATGGTAGAGGCTTGCAGTCCAGTGAGGCTGAGGCAGACATCTACACGTTGAAGGTAGCCTAAGCAATTTAGTGAGACCCTATGTCATGATGAAGTGAAAAGAGGGCTGAGGCTGAGCTCAGGGTAGAACACCTGCCTGGCATGCTCAAGACCCAGGCTCAGTTCCTGGAACCACACACACCCCTCAAAATAAAAAGGAATAAAGAAAATGATGTCCCTGTAATAATATTCATTGTTACTGCTAACAAAGGGCCTCATTGGCCTGCCTGAACTAATAAAATCTCATTTTTCTCAAACTACTCTAGTTTTATATATTTATTTTCTATTTGGAAACTAGAGTTTATAAAGATTGCTTTCAAAGTGCATAAAAAGTGGAAGGAAGGTGAAAACTCAATAACTTAGGAACAAATGTTTTTAATGCAGAATCAGTTTTGAGAAAATATTGAGGATAGCCTATGTTAAGCATTACTTTGGAGAAACGTAAGTCTGAATACACAGGTTTAAATATTTTGATTTTTTTTCTCTCTGTCAAATTGGTTAAGGAAAACAGTTCACAGAAGCTAAAGGCTTTATTTTTATGATGGGTAGATTTTGTATATTCTATTAGTGTTTTCTCTGTCTGAGTCTGAGTACTGTACCTCTGAAGAGAATTTAGAGCAATGAGACCTGTAGATGTCATCATGTCCCTTCACTAACCCATGGACATACCACATGGGATGGAATTTGTGTCTTTTTAAAGTTTAACTTTTTACAACGTGTGTGTGTGTGTGTGTGTGTGTGTGTGTAAGCCACAAGTGTAGGATGTTGGATTCCCTGAAGCTGGAGTTAAAGGCCATGCTAATCAATACCACATGAGATACTGAGCACTTGTAAAGTGGTTAATCCAAATTAGGATGTCCTGTAAGTGTAAAATACATACCAAATTCCATTATTCAATACCAAAACACCAGGAATGAAGTATTTGCTAATAAAATTTTGGTGTTTCTTCCACATTGAAATGATAATATGTTGAATATGTTAGGTAATGAATATCATTTGTTTATATCTGTATTTCAAGGGGGCTAGTAGAAAATTTTAAGTTGTATTTGTGACTAGGACAGTATTGGTCTAGATAACAAGAAAAAGTACAAGGTGCTTTTATTTCATAGTTTTTCAATTTGGTAGTGATAATATCAGGGTATAAAGTGTATCACAGAATGCTATGGGGAAACTATTGTGCTAGTTTTGCTGATTAGATGAGAAACTTCTTGGTCTGTTTTCATGACTTACTGAACAATGTAAATCCCCAGTAGATGTTTATATTTAGTTTTAAGAATTAAACTATTTAGCTTCCCAAGAGAAAGTTTTTAGAACTGCAAGCAAGTCTTATTTTTTGTTTTGTCTCTTCTCAAATATTTATAGTAAATATCTTTGACTCTGTGTGCTTTGGATGCTGAATTTGCTTCTAGCAAGAAGCTCAAAGATTAGGCTAGAGTTGCAAGTATTTATTGGAAATGAATAACACATGTAAAGAATCTTTCTGTCTTTGATAGAGTAATCTAGTTAATGAAAAGATTCATTCAACTGTTTTTCCTGTGTGATCACTAGATAAATTTATAATGTAAAACAAAGCCAATGGGATTACCAAGTGAGAATGTTTAATATTTTTAATGACAAGTTTAACAGATTAGTCTAATGATGCATAGTACTATGCCATATTTTTATTATATCATTTCTATAGGAAAGATTGCTAAGCACTCAGCATCTGGAGAGATTCAGTTAAAATACTGATTTTAATTATTAAAAATTTTCCAGAGTTTTATTAATCAAGATAAAAGAAAAACAGAAGATGAAGATAAATCACAATCATTTATGCAGAAATATGAGCAAAAAATCCGACATTTTGGTAAGTCTACTTAAAGTTTCCTTCTTTATTGTGTTTGATATCATTGGCATGTATATAAAACTGAACCTCTAAAATGAGGTCCAAGAAGCATGTGGCCAGCTCCACTCCTGCTTATGTGGGGTCATCCAGATCTGCTTCAGACCTGTGTCCTATACCAGGTTGCTTGTGTCTTAAACCAGGTTGTGATACTGTTCTCTATGATGGCATCACTGCTTTTCATTTCTTGACTGATCCTGTTTTGTTTTTCTTTTCTATGTTTTTTCTTAACATTAAAAGATTAGCTGTCCTTTAAAAATTATATATTTTTCATGGGCAGTTGGGGAGGGGTCAGGTGCATGCCACATGTAAAGGTCAGAGTACAACTTACTGGAGTCAGTTCTGTCCTTTCCACTATGTAAGTTCTAGGGATTGAATCTCATCCATCAGGTTTGGTGGCAAGTACCCTTACCCCTGAGTCATTCTGCTCTGTACTCATGTTTGTTTGGTTTTTTTTTTCCTTTTCCTTTTCTCATGTTTGGATAGGATGTTGTGTAATTCATGGTTCCTTGACATGTTGCTCAGATAACAGAACTTAAATACACACATACACGATCTAAGTACAGGTTTTGTCATTTATTTCTAAATATTTATGTGTATGTGTCTATGTAAGTATATGCCACATGTGTAGGGAGGAAGCTCATGGACACCACAAGAAGGCATCAGATCCCCTGGAGCTAGAGTTGTGGGCAGTTGTGAGCCACCCAACATGGGTGCTGGTATCTGAACTCGGGTTCTAGAAAAGCAGAAAGCACTCCTAATGGCTGAACCATTTCTCCAGTCCCGGAACTGGCTTTTTCTATTGTGGGAAGAAGAGTGGGGGGTGAAGTTGAAGTAAATGAGCTCCTGGGGGGAGCTAATGTTGGAGTTTGTTTAGGAGGGGCAGATATGGATTTTCCATGGAGATTGGACAACAGCATTAGAAATGCAGAGTCAGATCTGGGCAGTGATGGGGCATGCCTTTAATCCCAGCACTCAGGAGGCAGAGACAGGAAAATCTCTGTGAGTTCAAGGCCAACCTGGTCTACAGAGCAAGTTCCAGGACAGGCTTCAGTGCTACACAGAGAAACCCTGTCTCAAAAAAATAAAACAAAATGCAGAGTCAGAAAATATATGTGTGGTGTGTTCTGAGACTTACAAGCAGTGTGATACTGTTAGATTGAAAATGCTGCTTGGGGAACTGAAGAGATGGCTCAGCTGTTAAGAGCACTGGCTGCTCTTCTAGAGGACCTGAGTTCATTTCCCAGCAACCACATGGTGGCTCCCAACCTTGTGTAATGAGATCTGGTGCCCTCTTCCTGGCCCACAGGTTATATGCAGGCAGAACACTATACATGATAAATAAATAATCTTTTAAAAACAAAGAAAGGGAGGGAGGGAGGAAGGAAGGAAGTAAAGAAGGAAGGAAGGAAGTAAAGAAGGAAGGAAGGAAAAAAAGCTACTTGGAAATGTCCGGAGTTGAGTTTCAAACTATTATTTTTTTTTATTCAAGTATTGTGTGAATTAAAAGATACAGTTCTTGTTTGTGTTTTGTTCATGAATGGCATATTGAAACCTTTTACTGTTTGTGCTCCCACAAAGTATTATTTTTTTTTTTCAAAAGGAAAACCTGTACATTAATTCAAAAGAATAATTAGTACCTGAAGAAAGCTGGGCATGATGACAACATGCTTGTAATCCCAGCACTAAAGAGGCTTAAGCTAGGGGATCCCAAGTTCAGGGCTAGCCTGGATTATGACACTGTCACAAATAGCCAAAAATAAGAAAAGGCTAGTGTTTGGAAGCTAAACATACAAACACATTTCTATGTATATCATTGTGTCATTTCATATCATTGAAACAAAAGGAATAAGTAGCCCTCTCTTGGATAGATATTAAAATCTTTAAATCAGCATGGTCTTGAATCACAGGGATAGTAGATAGAAATTTGCAAATGAGTCTTGTGTTGTTGGCTACCATTCCTACCTACAGTCCTTGCTACCAACACCCCTGTGTTCTGCAGGAAAATGATGTTCCATCTACTGGTGCTTCTTTCTGGGCACACATAGCATTTGATAGAGTAGTGTTACTAGTGGAGTTTTTCCCCAGCTGGCATTCTGTAGGCTGTTTGCTTTGAAGCAGTGTAACCTAGTAAGTGAGAAACAGTACCTCTTTCATTGTAGATTGAGTGCTTTGGTTAAATGCAGCTCTGTGTGGGAAAGCATTCCAGCTTCACAAGATGTTGTAATCCACCTGACACTGACACTCAGTCTTCAGTAGACCCTTTCCTCACTGTGTAAAACCGACTGTTTCTGAGTAGTCCATGGTAAGACCAGTTAATTTCATGAGTTTGTGTTCATCATTTATTTTGAAATAAAATGAGCCACAAGTAATAGGTTAGTCCATCTAGTAAACCCCAAAGTGTAATTCAGGTAGAAGCATGGTAAAGAAAGGGAACACTTCTAGAATGGGCTTGTTCATGTGAGGGATTGTTGATCCCTCCAAGAAGAAATTGTACCACTATACTCAAGCTGCTACTTTATGGATAGATAATTAATTCTGTAGAATATGGTGCTGTATTGGAGTTTTTGCTCCTGAAAAATTTGGTATCCATTGATTCTACTGGCCTAGATAACCAAGACATCCTTGGTGAGAAGAATCCATGCTTTTGAATCTGCGTAAACTGCCCACCTAAGACTATTGTGTGTTTTGTAAAATGGCCAGGAAAATAGGCTGGCTTGGCACCCACAGATGATTACTAAGCATTTGTTTTACCATTGCATGTTGTGAGCTTCCAGCATCTCATCGTGTAATACTAACCAGACCCTTGCTGTCTTCAAATCCAACCAGACTTATAGCCACTCCCAGACTCACATTGTACCCGTTTCTTAGTGGAAATGCACATTGGCTTTTCACTTTGGAGGAGATACCCTACTTGCTGCAGCACATTGGATCCACAGAAATGTTCCTCAGGTAGTAGGCTCCCAAATTTTTCATGTGTTTATCTCCCACTCTCTGGCGTATGTGTATCTTATACATAATAGGCATCTGGGGCATCTGCTAGTTCTGCTCGCCAAGTTCCATCAACATAGAGTGGACTAAATTTACAGTTACAGGAGGTGATGAGATAGCAAAATCCACATTTACAAAGTCATATGCAGTTGATAAAGGACTGAGACAAGAGTTTGAGGGTTTGACGGTATTTATCCACCTTTGGAGAACAATTACTTCTGTTGGTATATGCTTATTAGTAAAGAACAAAGCATCGCCATACTGGTAGGTATATCGATAAATTCTTCAAAAACATCTGGAATGACAGCTGTAATTAAAGCTTCCAAGTGGAAACTTTCCAAAGATGGATTCTAGTATGGCCTCTTGAAAAAGAGAGCCTGGTGAATGTGAGTTCACACTAGTACTTGTCTCCTCTGTACTTAGGTTCTTCATAGTTTTTCCTAATTCTCCCTTATGCTGTTTGATGACTGTTTTCATGTTGCTTTAACCCTTATACTTAAATGGTACCATTATTATAGTGTTACAAATTATTGAAATCTGATTTTCCTTTATATTTTTGCTTATTGGGCGATTTATGCTTTAGAAATACAAACTGCTTATTAAGACAGAGAGCTCGTTTTCTCTTAAAATTCAAAACAGTTTTCAGTTATTTGCACCTTTAACATCACTGTCTTTGTGGTCCTCAGAGATGCTTTTCAAATTGTGCAATGGTTTTTTCGGAGCACATCATTTCCCTTCCAGCCATAGTTAGCTTTGATTCAGCATTTTCTCAATCTATTTGGATTTTATCAAAAACTATGAACATCTATATAAAACCTTTTTCATTTATAATATTTCCATTATATTCACTTGTGCTTTACTTTTTAAAATAGTAATGTTATTTTTGAAAAACATGCTGTGAAGTACTTGAATAAAATATAAAGTAAAATAAACTGAAATCATGTATTGTAGGATTTAAATTATCCCTGATAGAATTACATTTTTTTTTTTTAACTTTGGGAACTTTCCAAATTCTTCACAACAAATATACTTTTATTACCTGAAAAAAATATTTTAAGCCCTTATTCTAAAATTTGGGCATGGCTTAATATTTTTTAAAAATGTATTTAGTATATAATAGTATAACCACCAAACTTCATGGTCAGTTTTATACCAGAGAAATAGAAAGTCATAGGAGTTTCTAGAATACCTGACAAGATAACCTGAAACCTCAGAAGCATTGTGGGGTGGCAGGGAGAAGGATGGATTAATTTTTAACTAACATGACTGTGCATAGGTGTGGAGGTGGAAAAAAATGGTTGTCTGGTAGTAGATGTCAGGAAACGCAGGGAGAGCTCAGAAAGTTAAGCTAGTCACAGTTCTTCTCAAGGATCTTGCAGACTAGCTAGGGGAGTTTTAGCAGGTAGTTACGATAGATGGTATAAAGTGTTAAATGTATTCTGTAAATATAATGCAGGGTATATGTACTGGGAGCAGTTTTAATAATCGAATAGACTATTGAGAACTAATGACACAAAGATGTTCATCAGAAAGACACATGGTTTGAAAATTAACGTACTTTAATTTGTCAAAGTAAGGTAGTCTAAGAATTCAGAAAGTTGGTTGATTAGTTTGAGTAGCTGGCTTATCCTTAACCAAAAGATTGTCTAAATAAGTATTTGCTATATGAGTGAACTAGTCACTGTTGTGTTAATACTTACTATTAAGTATTTACTATGTGAGGCACTGTTCTAGTGTTTTATATGAATTAATACCTTTAGTTCATAAAAACCCTTCCATGTCAGGTACTGTTTTACCTCACCCCACTCCTTGTGGGAAGACACAGACATATATGAAGGAACTTGCCCAAGACAGTCTTATCTCCTTGGCCCTCATCCTAGCTTGTATACTGTTTACAAATTTCAAAAAAACAGTGATTTCAGGTGTGCTCTGTTTCTGTAACTTTAGGTTTTCTGTAAAGACTTTCTTATAAAATTCCATACCTTTTCCCTTATATAGACTACTTGTAACTTCTCAGTTTCCTACTAATTGAAGATCTAATTTACTTAGATGCAGAAAATCTTTGTCCAGTCCCAAGTGTCTTAGGTATTTAAAAGATAAAACACTTCCTTCAGCTTGTAACAGATTGCTAACATTTTGGTAACAAATGTTACCAGTCCTTTTCATATTATCTTTAATTCAGAATCCAAATGGACAGGGTTTTGTTAATAAAGTCATAATGCTGCCCTGTTGAGGTAGTTGTAGATGATTGACTGTAAAGAAACTAGAAAGTATTACCTCTTTAGAGGTATTAGCAGGCTAGCAAAGGGACTGGGAGTATAGCTCATTTGGTAACGTGCATGACTAGTATGCATGGAGCTCTAGGTTTCATCTTTCCAACTGCAAAAATCAGGCATGGTGGTGCAAGGTTCTGCTTTCCCAGCACTGGAGAAAAAGAGGGGTGTGGCAAGTTCAGAGTCAGCCTGGGTTCCCTGAGTCCCTCTCAAGAGAGTATGGGGAAAAGGGAAGGGGCAGAGACTGAGCCATAGGGGATGTATGTCTTTAGGTATAAGAAATAAGGATGGGGTAGTAGGAGGGAGGTGGAGGAACTATGGTTGGTATCTGAAATGAATAAAAAATTTTAAATTAAAAAAAAAAACAGAAATAAGGATTGTGCTTTCATCAGCTCAGTTTTTCAGCATTTGTTAACTCCTGGGAACTAGTTTCAAATAGATTTGCAGAATCATTCTGTGTCTCAGAAACTTAAATGACCCAACTGTCAGAAAAATGTGGTGCACCCTTATAATCCTAGCACTGGGAGGAAGTGGTGGGGAAAGGTTAAGGTTTGGGGGATTCTTGAGTTATGTAGAAGACCCTGTCCCCCTTTTTTTCTTAATAAAAAATTTTAAAAATGCTGAAATTGCCCCAACTTTTTTCTAAGGGTAGTGTATTTTTAGTTGGTTCCCCACATGTTGCTGTGTAAGATATTTGTTTTTGATCTTGATCTTATGTTCTCATGTGAAATTTAGTATGTAGAAATTCATTTTGTGTTTATTGTCATGATTCTTAAGACAGTCCTATGACACTTCAGTGATGGCTTAAATAATATCTATACTGTTTTTGCTGCTGTGAATAATCTAAAGTTTCTGACATAGTGATCCTTAGTTCATTCAAGTGTAACCCTGAACAGCACATTCGAGGTTCCGGGTTCTTGGTTATAGTGGCTTTATTAAGTTAGATAAAGATACAGATGCATGCTAAGTACTACTTGGATTCATTTAATATCTTGAAACAAAATGGTAGCCTTTCATATATGTTCAACTAATTTTAAAATAATTTACTGTATAAATGAACAGACAGTATTAGTAATTGCCTAATATGATTAAAATAGTTGCAGTATATTAGTATTCTAATATTGACTTATTTGTTTCCCAGTTAATAATGTTTCCTGAATTGATAAATGTTTATATTTTACTATGTTTTGGACTGTTTAAAAAATAAATTAGAGATAATAAGAGTATTCTGAATTTTTAGTAAGCCCGTAAATTTGCCAAGTTTAGTTTTTTGAAGTCTTGCATTTTAAAAGTGTTTGTACTAGAGATTAAGCCACAGGCCTCATAATAGGCAAACACTTTTATCGTTGAATCATGACCTAGTCTTTTTTTTTTTTTTTTTTTTTTTTTTTTTGACAAGGTCTTACAAAGTTGCTCAGATTGTCCTTAAACAGGCTCTGTGGCCATTTGCAGTCTTTTGCTGTAGCCACTCAATAACAGATTCTTAACCATCTTTCTATTAAAAAGCATTTTGTTCTCTTATTAGATGATAGAAGTACCTCAAAATCATTTGCTCTCACTTTAACCTTAAGGGAAGTCCAAGTTGTGCACGGTATTTGGGACTTCAGGCATTCCTATTAGCAGGGGTCTTCAGCAGGTCACTCTTCTTAGTCAGACTAATTATGTGAAATAAAACTTGCTGTCATTCCAATCTGATGGATATTGCTTTAAGAGGTATTACTGCTCATGGCTTGTCCTGTCACATAACACAGTGCTCTAGTACCAGGAACTGTCTTTAAGAGAAACATTTAAAAATCCATTTCTTGCTTCACGGGAAGAAAGGAAATATTTGACATCTGTGATTCAATTCTCTTTTACAGGTATGTTGAGTCGGTGGGATGATAGTCAGAGGTTTCTGTCTGACCACCCATACCTTGTATGCGAAGAGACTGCTAAATATCTTATTTTATGGTGTTTTCATCTAGAAGCTGAGCAGGTATGAATCTTGGGTGTCTGGAAACCTTAATAGAATTCTAAGTTTTTACTTACTTTTTAAAAAAATTGTTGCTTACTTTAAATGAAAGTAGGGGGTTGGACAGTGGTAGCTCATGCCTTCAAACCCAGCCCTCCAAAGGCAGAGGCAGGTAGATCTCTGAGTTCAAGGACAGCCAGGACTACACAGAGAAACCCTCTCTCTTGGGGGAAGGGGGACAGGAAGATATCAGAAGGAATTATGAAGTTTGATCGTTTGTTTTCATGCTTACTGTAAGGACTTTGCTGTTATTTCCCAGCGTGCTTGTAGTCACTTGCTCTCTCCTTTCCTACTAGTCATGTTTTAAATTTTCATAAAGTAATCATGGTGAGGACTAAGCCAAAAGCATGTGGTTATTCTGGCCCATATAACAGCAGTCTTTATGTCTATATAATATTTTATTTAATAATACGGAGAATAAAAGAAAAAGAACTATGAAAATTGAAAAGTGGCCTCGGGACCAGTTCAGTCTCTCCTCCTGAGGTCTTTTGTGTGACCCTGATGTGTGTCTTTCAGAAAGGCGCTCTAATGGAACAAGTAGCACATCAAGCGGTGGTGATGCAGTTTATTATGGAAATGGCCAAAAACTGTCATGTGGATCCAAGAGGCTGTTTCCGTCTGTTTTTCCAGAAAGCCAAAGTAAGTAGTTACTTGGTGTTGGACTATAGCTGAGCTCTCTTTGTCAGAGCTCTCTAGTCAGAAAGCTGTCTAGGCAGTAGGATCCAAATGCTGTAGGTTTTCTAGTGAAAAGAAAGGTATAGTGTTAAAGAGTATATATAAGCTAGACCAGTGGTTACACAGTATGTTAGCATTTATAATACATGTTACATCACAGTTTTTGTGCTGATTGAGACTTAAAATGAGAAAGAGACTGCACTAGACCATACATTTGAAACCCATGCAAATTAATGTGACTATTATGGGCTACTTCATCATTTACCCATTTAGTATATGTAGAGTGTTTTCTAATGGATAACAGAGCCATTTTAAATGCCATGTTGAGCACAACAGCATCCTCTACTTGTAGAACTTACCGTTTAAGAAACCAAATTTGTAATGAAAAATTTAACTACACTCAGGAGGCTAAGGCAAGAGGGTTATGATTTGTAGATCAGCACAGACTGCAATAGAGAGATAGTAGAGGAGGAGAGGGAAGAAGGAGGAAGCCAGCTAGCCACCTGACTTATAGACTGGAATGTTATATAGCTATTATATACTTATGGAGCATTGTTAATAATTAAGAAAATGTTTATGTTGCAAGTTTAAAGTAAGAGATGCATGGTTTATAGAAACATAAGGTTGGCCCTACTAAGAAAAATAGATATGTGTTGAAAGATTACTGTTTGATATTTACTGGATCAGTAATAATTAAAAGTTTCCTAAGAAGCAAAGTAATAAGAATTGAATTCACTGCTGGTATAAGTATACATTAGGACACCCCCTTGGAAATGTTTCTGGTGGAACTGAGCAAGTGCATCTCTGAGCAGCAAAACCCTTTGTGAAGAGTGCTCCACAGAGAGCAGATTCTTAGCATGTGCTCAGGGCCTGATAGTCGGGATGCCTCAGTAACAATGGTTTTCATGATACAACTGTGATATTAGCGCCCATTTCACTCTCATCCACTCATGAGTGCACAGTTGATGCTGAGGCAGTTGGTAGAACCTGTCATCTCTTATTAAAGCTAGATGTGAGAGACTTGAGAGGATGAACAGCAAATTTCACAGTTCTTTCCTTTGGGGGATGGTGCTTTAAAGAATCCTTTTTGTCTTTTAAATATTACATATTGTGTGTATGCAGGTTTACTTACAGTGTGGTGGTCGGAAGTTGACTACTGGTATCTATCATGTTCCATCCCATCTTCCAAGGCAGAGTCTCTCAGTGAACTTGAAGCTCGCCATTTTGGCTAGGCCAGAAAAACCCCAGGATCAGCTTGTCTTTGTCAGATCCCCTCCCCCACTTCAGTGCTGGGGTTCCACATGTGTGCCATCATGCCAGGGTTTTATATGGGAGCTGAGGATCCAAACTGGGGTCCTCATGCTTTAGGGTAGGTGTCACTGCTGCCCAGACTTGTCATATTCCTGGGCTTTGCTGGTCACCATTTCTGAGTCTCAAGTAGACATCATCATATGTTTAATTCTGTAAAAATGCAATTGTGTAAAAAAAAAAAAAAAAAAAAAAAAAAAAGTACACTGCTAGTGGCAAAACGTAATAAGTTTGTTCCTGGGTCTTTTTAAGTTTATATTTAAAGTTTTTGAACACAGTAAATATTGACTACGTGACATCATGGTATGCATGAGATTTTAATGTAGAAGGGCTGTAAGGTTTGAGAATCACAGCTCTTATGTCTCTGCATTCACTGCTGTGGTGCTCATAGATTTGTTTTAATACCAAAAGACTGGCCGCCTTTGCTAATAACCCTAAGAATAAATTGGGCGTATTCATTTATATAATTTATCATCAGTATAGATGGAAAAAATATAAACCCAACAGTAGGAATGAATGGAACAGGCTAGTTGTATAGCCGGTATCAACTTTAAAGATGTACTTTATAAAGTTGGTAGTTTTAAGTATTTTATATTTTATAAAGCATTTTTAGAGGCATAACAGTATATTTTTGAGAGCTACATGTATGAGCAAGAAAAGTAAAGCAAATGAATGACTTGAGACCCAGGGAGAGGAGAAGAACCTATGGGAATTGCTTTCTGAGGTACTGGTGGTGATCAGATTCCTAATTTTTATGGGCATGCACATATACACTCATGTGCACACGTGCGCACACACACACGGCTTTTTGCACATTTTATCATGTAATTAGAAATTAAAAGGAAATGCACCAGAAGTTTAACTTTGTTTATGCTTGAGTGGTAGAGTTACCATTTTCATTTTCTTTATTATCTATTGCAGTGAATGCTTCTTGTAGCAAGGTAACAGTAGTCCTACTCTAAAATAAGTACTATAAATTCTGAAGTGCACTCACTGTTCCTACAGTTTCCTCCAGTCTTGTCCTACAGTTTACAGCAGTTGACTTTGATTGAACAAATGACTAGGTTGGAATTTTAGCTAGGCTTATTGTAACTAAATTTTTACTTGACTCATAGAAGCAATAAAAACTATACCTTTTGATGACACCTTAATTTATTTAAACTGATACTTTATTTGGTAGTGGGACATTGCCACACTACATGTAAATGTTTTCTTTGATAAAACAACTGAAAATCCTTTAAATCTTCAGCTTTAACAGTTTTAATAGTAAAAATTAGGGAGTAATATTCATGGGGTACTTTTGTCATGATAGTCCCTGTTTTAAGCATTTTGATAGGTTAACTTATTAAATCCTTATTTATTCTTGAAGATTTTTACTCCTGTAAAGGAAGCTGACATAAAGAAAATAAATGGTGTCTTGTAGCTTACTTCATTAAGCAGAGTCGGTCCCTTGATTTAAGCCTCGGCCTTAGGACTACAGTGGAGTCAGCAGTCATGCTCTTCGCCTTTGTATGCAAGCCCTGGACAGGAGCATAGGTCCTCACAAGCACTAGCTAGCTATTACTACAGTAAGATTTAAGTCTAACCAAGGAAAAAGACAGGGTATCCTCCCAGAGCATAATTTCCATTATTTATGTAACCCAGAACTAATGTACAACCTAAACTCCATTGACAAGATCTTTCTACCCCCTGAACTTAAAGTCAGCATACTGTTAGCACAGGACATATACCTTGTCAGGTACACATAGGAGAAATGTTTGAAAAGAGGCCTCTGCAGTAGAGAGAGGCTTTCTTGGAGAACTCTCCTACATCATTGGATGCCAAAAAGTGAGTCTCTTCCCTCTGCCTAAGTTACAATGCTTGTTTGTTTCCAGATGCCAGGCAATTGCTGAGCTAGAATACTTAAGACATCCTTATAATAATTAAATTGAATGTTGAGGTTCTTTTATAACCCTTTTTTGTCTTTTATAACTTTAAGAAATAAAGTTTTAAAAGGTCAGAGATGTAGTGGATAGTAATAGTGCCCCTTCCCGAATTAAGTGAGAATAAAGTGAATGTGAGCGTTGATAGTTTGTTTTTTGGTTTTCGGGATTGAGCCTAGGGCCTTGTGCATTCTAAGCAAGTAACCCCGTGTTCTTAATTGGTCTTAGTAATAAAAACCCAGAGTTAGATACAGAGGAAAATGCTGAGAGATCAGAGAGGAGCAGCAAGTCATCAGCACAACTTACCTCTCAGCAAATATGACAGCGAGTTCCTGTTTCTCTGTGCTTATATCCTGTTTCTGCCCAGTTAGCTCACTTCTTGTCTGTCTGTATGGACCTCTATGGTTAGCTAGTGGGGGGCTCCATTTTCTGACCCTCAGACAGGCTTTATTTGTGAATCACACCCCAACCTGTCGCAAATATTTGTTTTTTGTTTGTTTGTTTTGAGATAGGGCTCTGGCTGTCCTGGAACTCACTCTGTAGACCAGGCTGTCCTAGAACTCACAGAGATCTGCCTGAGGGTCTCACTAAGTTGCCATGGTCTGGTAAATTTACTCATTTGCCTACTTAACCTTGAACTTGCTATCAATACTCTTGCCTAGGCCTCCTGAGTAGCTGGTCTTAAAAGCTTTACTACCAGGCCACTCCTACTCTGTCTGTATAAATAGGAGTGTTGTTTCCAGTAGTTAATTTTGTTGAACCAGAAAGAAACAGAGGAAACCAACTATTTGTGAATGTTCCTGTGAAAGAGATTGTTCACAAATCTGCCAGGAGACTGTGCTGGTTTCTGCATTTGACCACTCCTCACTGCTTCTACTCCAGCTCTGCTGTGTGCTTTGGAAATTAACTCTGTGTTTAGTAGTCCAGAAAAATTCTTTTTGCTTGTTTGTTTTTATATTCTAGGCAGAGGAAGAAGGTTATTTTGAAGCATTCAAAAATGAACTTGAAGCTTTCAAGTCAAGAGTAAGGCTTTATGCTCAATCACAAAGCTTTCAGCCTATGACGGTTCAGAATCATGTTCCCCATTCTGGTGTTGGATGCATAGGCTCCTTAGAACCCTTATCACAGGTAAGCTGGAAAAAGGATGCTCATTTCATAAATGTATTCACATAATTTTGTTGTCAGGCCACTTGTGAATAATGTCTGTATGATCGCTTAAATTTTTCTTGCCTCAAAAAAAAATAACTCTTATGTGGTGGCACACACCTTTAATCTAAACACTCAGGAGGCAGAGGCAGATAGATCTCTGTGAGTTTGAGGCCTGATCGCCATTGAGAGCTCCAAGCCAGCCAGGGGCATGTTGCCTCCAAAATAAATAAATAAATAATAAATTTATTACCTTAGTCTTATTTCATTCCATGCTTTGGCATTGTGTCTCTTCTATCTTTTAGAGTCACCAGATTCTGTTTCGTTTTAATCTGGAAAAGATGAACTGTACCTAAACGTTTTTAATGTCAAGTGTCACTACCTAATGGTTATCTCAGTCATAAACTCAGTGTGGCTTCCCACAAACATCTCTTTCTGAGTAAAATACATTGTTGGCAATTTTTTAAGGATGAAATTATCTTGAGAGCAGGCATTTGAGTGGTAGCTAAATTGCTGCATGGCTTTATGTAATTAGTACCTTGTTAAGTAGCACTTTTTGTATGTTATCTATCCAGTACTGTTAGCAACTGCTTGAACCTCCTCAGAGTCTGCAGTTAGAGCAAGGTAAAAGCTATGCTTTTACACGAAAGAGTGTCAGTGAAAAGAGGGGAGCAGACCACTAAGGTAGCTGACTGCTTACTTCCCTAGAGCCTTAAGATATTGTCAGACAGCCCCCACCCGTTATGACCTTAGAAGTAGCAGCTTAATAGAGCCCGGTTATCTCTCATTTCCAGGCTCCAAGATTTTAAGACCAGCTTTAGCCAGTTTATTCTGTTTCTACATTGGGAGATGGAAAGTATCATTGAGAAGATAATATGAGGAGAGTCCTGTATTTATTTTTAAGCCTCATAAAATGGTAAAAATTGAGATTTTCAATTTCTTGACATTATGTCACTATAATTTTACCATTTTAGTAACGTGTTTTTAAAATAGCTGTTAAATTTTACATTAGCACTTTTAACCTAATGTATCTAAAATAGTAAGGAAAGCACCTGGTCATATTTAACTCAAACAAAAACATTTTCAAGGATGTAAACATTCATATTCTGACTTTAAATAATTACTAGTGTTCTCCTTTAATTAGACATATCAGAAATAGCCCCCTCAAGAATGCCAAAAGATCCATTCTTTATTTTTAATTTCTTTAAGATTTGTTTTATTTATATGAAAATATTTTGCCTGCGTGTATATATGTGCATCACATGTGTGCCTGGTGCCCACAGAGGGAAGCCAGAAGAGGGCTTTGGAGCCCCTGGAACTGTTGGTTAGGCATGGTTGTGAGCCGCCATGTGGATCCTGGGAAGTGAGGCCTGGTCCTCTGCAAGGGATCAAATGCTCTAAGTGCTGAGCCATGTCATCACTTCTTTACTGCCACTTAACTACAGTATTGAGAGGTAGTACGCAAGGAAGCAGGCTCCCAGGAAGCTTTATGATGTCAGAGGCAGTTGGTAACCTGAGATTAGTCTCCTATTGCATATCGATGAAAAAGACACGTAAAAGGTATCATTGGTTCTTTACACATAATGAAATAGAAGCAACCCGTGTTATCCAGAAGATGCGTCTGGTTTGAGAGCTGTAAGTCATTCTCATGCATACCAGTGGCAGCTGACACCAGTGGCTAGGCCTCTGTTGTCACCTGTGGCAGAGAAGACTGGAGTCAGAGTTTTGTCATTTAAATTATTACTACTGTCAGGAATCTTCATACTTACTCTGGTTAGTAGACTAGTTGTTCCTTACAGGGTGAAAGTTTAGGCGTCCTGTCCTAGACAGCCTCAGGGAGAGCAGCGCTGATCCAGGTCCCTGTTAGTTGCCGAAGATTATTGACTAGATGAAAGAAACGGTAGGAGGCAGCCACCCAAGGGAAGTCTGAAAAACTTACTATAATAATGGTATGTCACTTCGTGGCCTGTATAATATGATGACATTTATCATTTAAACTTCTTTAAAGTGCTGTGATTATTTAAATTCATTTTTGCACATAAGTAAATTGAAAATGTCAGAGGTTAAATTACTTTGCTTAAAGCCAACACAATAAGTGACGGGGCTGATACTCTAATTTTGAATGTCCTTTCTCCAGCCTTCAGAGTCCTACACTACAAGTAGTCATGCTCTTGGAGAGAACTATATACTGAGATAAGTGAAATGCTGAGAATTTGGACAGACAGAAGAGGAAACCAGTGAAGTGTCAGTGTTGCTTAGGTTAGGGATATTGGTTGCTTTTAATTCTGAGTATCATGTTTGAGTTACTGTAAGTTTGGTCTTGAAGGGCTCTGGAGTCTGAAATGGATGTCAGAAAAGGCTTAGCACTACTTTGGAATGTAATATAACAAGAGTATTGACTTTTATAAAGCTTAGAATTTGGTAACATTTGATTTTAGTTTTTTTTAATAGTGAAAAACAGTCCTGAAACACACCAGATATTCCCATCCTTATTCTTGCTGTAGGACTCAACAGTGCCTTCTCGGATAAAAGTAGTGGCTGCTTCATGTTTATTCTCTGCACTGACTTTTAATGGTATTAAGTTGTGACATATTTTTTTCTTCTTTTTGAGTATTAATGATACTAAATAGAAGCATTAAAACAAAATAAAAAAGACTCTTGGAAATAATCAAATTCCTACCTAGCTTTTGGTTTTTACTAAAGAAACCTATTTCATTTGGATAACTTTGCTCATTAATGCTTATTAAAAACAAATAAAATTAGGTAGTAAAAGTAATAAAAAGTCCAAGTTACTGGAAAATAGTCAAATAACTGAGTGGGGGGAAAATCACTTCAAAAGAAGAAAATGGCCAAGTACAGTCTTGAGTTTTAAGAGCTTACACTTTTACCCATGGAACATTTAAAAATCATGCATTCAGTTTTGGCATTAGTTGAACAATATTTTGAACTTTTATCTGTTTTTTTAATTGTAGGCAAAAGTACCTCTTCAGAAAAGTAAAGATTTTTGTCTTCAAGTTTATTTTACTCAGTACATGATTTGCCTGTATCAAAATGTTTTACACTTATAGTACCTCACTGTTGTAATCAGTAATCTTAAGGATACATTGCTGGCTAACAACCTTATTTTATGTGTAGATGTTTTGCCTAAAGACATGTCTGTGCACTGTATGCATGCAGTGTCCACAGAGGCCCGGCGAGACTGGCAGATCTCCTGGAACTAGCTTCTCAGGTGGTTGTAAGCTGCCACGTGGATGCTGGGAACCAAACCTTGATCCTTTGGAAGAGCAACAAGTGATCTTAACTGCTGAGTCATCTCTCTAGCCCCCTAAAAGCCATATTTATTAAAATATAATGCTTATGGGGAAATTTAACCTTATATGATTAAAGAATTAAAATTAGTTGTGTTGAAAGAGTTAAATGGGTGTGGTGCTTCGTACATTTCTGTTCACGTATATCCACATCTCTTTGGATTAAGTAATATCCTCCTACCCTTAGTCCTTTGTGTTTCAGCCCAAGCAGACTTCAGAAATGCATGTTCTTTCCTATTTGCTATGCTGCAGAGGAATAGACAAACGCGCCAATGAATGTGCTGATGTGGGCTGCTCATGAAGTGTTTCCTCTCCCTTTCTGTCTCCCCCAGAATCCAGATTATCTTCAGTATTCTATCAATACACCTCTCTGCAGTTTAAACTCAGTGGTACATAAAGAAGATGACGACAAAATGATGGACACTGTGTAATTCAGTTAAGACTGCTGAGGCCAAGGACTATTTTGTTACAAGAAAGGAAGAGCTTGGCTATTTTCTTGACACTTTTATGGGTGCTGCACTTTATTTTTGTTCGGTTTTTGATGGGAGGGAAAAGAGTACTGAAATGTTTTGCAACTTTTTTTTTTTTTTTTTTTAATGTGCTGCTAGGGTTTTTTGTTGTTTTGTTTCTGAAGGGAGGGACGGTACCATACATTGCAGGACGTCAAACTGGACTCTCCTTACCCCTCAGTTACTAAATTTGCCTTTAACTGTTGTTAATTTTGGAATCAAAGTATGAAAATCTGCACAATGCAATGTTTACAAGACTGAGGAGAAATCTGCTAGCGAGTCTTTTTAACGTGGATATGTACATGTCTGACTTGACGGAAAGAATTAAAGATAAAAGTGTGCTTGTCCCACTGCTGTCAAAGTTCAGCTGTCAAATCTGGTGTTTGTCACATTAAAAGCAATAAATCAGTAGTGGTAACCTACTTTACTAATGTGTAAACTGGGTGGCACAAATTAGTGTTCTAAGGTAATATTTACATTTGTATTTTCGGCACCACCAGTTAACTCCTTGACTATAAACTTGGTATTAAAAACATGACATTTACCCCTCAAGTAGTCTCAAAACTATTCAGGAGTTGACTTTGTCCTGATGACTGTTTAAATGTTAAGGAGTGTAGCATGTGTGGAAAGCTATACAGTTTTCTGTTTTTCCAACAAGATGAATTACAAACAAGCTTACTCTGACTTCTTTACTTGACATAGTCTGGGACCTCTCAGGGAGTAAGTTTTAAAAGAATAGAGCAGCCTGTAAGAACAAACAGTAAGAGTAACACCATTGTTAAATCGTGGTTATTGTGTGTTTCCCTCCCGTGAAGCCTGGAGAAGTGACGGAGAGCTAAGCTGCCTTGACTGCCAGCCATGTCTTAAGAATTTGTAACTGTCACCGTTGGTGGTGATAACGGTTTCACTCCATCTGTTACTGGCTTAATTCAGTTAGGAGATGCTTCTGTGCTTTACTTCTTCCTGATTAAGTCACTGAGATCCACCAGGATATTTGATGATTATTTTTATTTAGAGTTAGATGACAGTGCCAATTATGATGATATCCTTACTCTTTGAGGGTTCATCTTCCGATCTACGGGAGTGTTAGCTTTCGTTATTTTTGAGTGTAATCTTTGGCTCAGTACCCACTTGAGTTATAGCAGTTATTTGGAAAGTCTGTGCCTGTGGTTGGGAATGCGGGTTGCAGTTTGATTAAGAAATTATGCTGAGCGGCCTGCGTGGGTCAGAGCTGTAACCTGGGCTTCATCTGTCTTCTTCTAGCTGATGGGGCTGAGTTAGGTGACGGGCACCAAATACTTGTGGAAATGGACTGGAATCATGACTCATACTCCTGTAATGTCACAATCTCCCTGGTTCCCAGAATAAAATTCTTTTTGTGCTTTTGATATAAATATATATACTCTATAATAAAATGTTTGACTAATTTATATGGTAGTGCTCACTGGCTTGTAATGGTTTTAATCAGTGACCTAGTCATGGGAGATAGTTTTGTTTTTGTTATATTTTTACCTCTCTTTTTTCATGTCTGGAGCATGCTCTTAGTTTTCCTCTTATACCAAATCGGCAGACTAGAACAGGACGGATCCCTGGCTCACAGAAGTGGCCCTGGACTGGCTGCTTGCTACTCTTTCACTCTGCCCACAACTCGTCTACTTGTCAGCTCAGCCAAATGGTTGTGACTTTCAGTTTTGCCTTCCATAACGTAAACGTTGCTTTGTTTTGTATTCATTTATTTTTTACATTCCATCCCCTCCCTTCTCTCTTCTGGGTCCCCCCACTCCCCCAGTACACACCTCCCATCTGCTCCTCAGAAAGGGTAAGGCCTCCCCTAGGAAGTCTACCAAGCTTTCCCACCATCTAGTTGAGGCAGGACCTAGGCACCTCCCCACCCCCACACCTGTCTAGGCTGAGCAGGGTGTGTCTCCATATAGAATGGGCTCCACTAAGTCAGTTTGTGCATTAGTGTTAGATCTTGGACCCACTGCCAGTGGCCTCATATATTGTCCCAGCCACACCAGTGTCATCCCTTAATAGGGAGTCTAGTTCAGTCTTAGGCAAGTTCCCCATTTGTCAGACCTTAGTCTGTGATCTCTCACTAGCTCTGGTCAGCTGATTTAGAAGGTTTCCCCATCATGATCTTGACTCCTTTGTTCATATTATTGTTCCTCCCTCACTTCGATTGTACTCCAGGAGCTTGGCCTACTGGTTAGTTGTGGGTTTCTGCATCTGCTTCCATCTGTTTCTGGAAGAGGGTTCTAGCTTCTTTGGGGTTGTGGATTGTGGGCTGGGTTATAATGTAAACTCTTTTTATTTTTATTTTCCACAAGACAGCATTTCTCTATTGCTTTGGAGCCTGTCCTGGAACTGGTTCTGTAGATCAGGCTGACTTCGAACTCACAGAGATCCAACTGCCTCTACCTTACGATAATTTTAATTCTTAATGTCAAAAGACTAGTTACAAAAAAAAAGATATTAGAAAAATAAGTATATAATTAAAATTTATTTTGGTTTTATTTTCTGAGACAAAAACTGATTAAGAAAAAAAAATTGTTGAGACAAAATTTTCTGGTTTTATTTTTTTTTTTATTTTTTTTTTTTTTTGGTCTTCCCCTAAGGAAGGGTTGTTTTAGTGTGTAAAAAGTGTATTTGGGGAACCACTAATGGATGTTGTAATTTGCACTTGAGGATGGTAACTTAATCCCTGGCAGGACTTTGGTATTAAGACAGTATATTGGGCTGGGTATGGTAGCACTTACCTTTAATCCCAGCACTTGAGAGGCAGAGCGAGGTGGATCTTTGAGTTTGAGGACAGCCTGGTCTAGATAGAAAGTTCCAGAACAGCCAGGGCTAGGTGAAGAGGCCCTGTCTCAAACAAACAAACAAAAGGACAGTATATTAGAATTATTTTATTTCCTTTATTTTGTATTGACAGCTGGCTATCTCCTGCCAAAATAAATTTCTTCTTTTTTCTGAAGTAGTAGTACATAGCAAATAGATAATTCATATTTCAGGTTATAAAAATTTTCCCTAATCTATGAGAAGTTCAAATTGGTCAGTGAAAAATATTTGACATCAAAATATTCAACAAAGACTGTTGTTTTACTTGATAAATTTCATGTGTTGTTTAATAAAATATTTTCTTTTTTAAATGAGACAGCTGGGGACTTAAGGTACAGTTCAGTTGGTAGAGTTCTTGCCTAGGATGTTTAAGCCCTTGATGTATCCACAGCACCTCGTAAACTGGGCATGGGGGCACACACCTGTGGCTGGTGCTGGGAGGTAAAGACAGGACGGCTCATGCTTTTCCTCCACTGCATTGCAGGTTCAAGGCCAGCCTTGTGGCTACCTGAAAACTGTCTTAGGTGAGAGAGGAACAAAGAGCTGTAACTCCATTTACCCTGTTAACTGTCATTCCATTGATGATAATGGAGAAAATACTGGTTAGAATTACTGCTTTGCATCTCTTAATTATCCCATCTGTGGTTCTTTCAAATTTTTTGCCCAAGGAGCTTATAATATCCTATAATTTCTCTTCAGAAATACTAGGCTTTTTCAGATGAGCACAATCATTATTTTTAAAGTGAATAAGGGCTGTTGAGATGGCTCCTTGAGAAAAGGTGCTTGCTGCCAAGCCCAACAACCTGATTGCAGTATCTGGGACCTAAATGGTGGAAAGAGAACCAACTCCTTAAGTTTCATCAGACTTTCATATGTGCACAGGAGAACACACACACACACACACATTTTTAATTTTTTAAGTGATTTAATTAACATGCTTCCCCCAAGAGCGCACGTTTCTCTGTTACTCAGTGGGCCTTACTGCAGTGTAGGATGTAGGCAAGGTGATTCCTAAGGTAATCCTAGGGGATTTTCAGAGAAAAACAAAAGTAGATTTACTACTCTCAGAGTTAGTCACATTATGCACTTCTTAAATTGATGTGGGACACAATTTGGGGTTGGGTTTCCCATTTCCATTTTTCTAGCATGCCCTTTACATTTTAACAAGAAGACCCTTAAATCCCACAGCCTTGGGTTCCTGCTTGTATGGGTGTGTCTGTCCTACTTCATGGGTTTTCCAAGAAGAGAATGGTAGTGGCTGGCTCACGGTGTCAGTCAGTAGGGAAATGTGGCCTATGCATTGCTTACCAACAATAACAGGTGAAAATATTTTCACAGGCCTTAAAGAACTAGAACCTTTTCTAAAGGTAGGAAAATTATTTTAAAATCCTTGTATCTTTCATGTGGTTTCTCATGTTACTCTTTAGACACTCGGAATCTTTTCAGGAAAAATTGAGCTATGGGGCCAGTAGACACTTGGCATGATACTACTTGGTGCTGTATAGAAAAGCAGGGTTTTTAGAGATCTTTAAAAGGTGGGTGGCTAAAGAGAGGAGTCCTTGGTTAAGAGTGTTTGCTGCTTTTGCAGAGGGTCAGAGTTTGACTTCTAATACCCCTGACTGGTGGCTCACAAGCTCCTGTAACGCCACTTCCAGGAGACCTGATAGCCTCTGTAGATACCCATGCACATGTACACATACACCCTAAATAAAAATGAAACCTTTAAAACAGAACTGCAGGGGAATGCTGGATATGCAAAAACAGTACTGGCTTTTTGAGCCCATCTAGACTATTTTAATTGATTAAAAAAAAAAAAAATTTAATCCTAACTTCCGGGAATGAAAATCTTTAGCTGCAAGCTGTAGTTATTAATACAGGAATTTTGTCAGTGAGAAAACACAATGTCCCTGCCCAGGGTATTCAGCTCCATGCATATTTCATGTGACATAAAATATGTATATTCCTTGTGACATAAAACATGCAAATTTCATGCAACTCACTGGTTACCACAACATTGCTATTCGGCATCATGTATTCAGTAATGGTCATTTTTTTAAAAAAGTTTTAAGTATATTGGAGTTTGCCTGTCTATTTGTGCAATATGTGTGTGCATGGGTCAGAAGAGGGCACTGGATTCCCTAAAACTAGAGTTACAGATGGTTATAAGCCATGTGGGTGCTGGGAATCAAACCCTGGTCCTCTGGTAGAGCAGCCAACGAAACTAACTGCTGACCCATCTGTCCAGACCCAACACTGATATCCGTTATCAGTGTCTGATAACAATTTAATCCAGCAGAAAACAGGTCCCCTTTATCTGTTTTAATAGAAAAGACGCCACAGTCCCCAAATAACTTGGTCGTTCTGGTCACAGGATAAAGAAGTTTTGTCACTTTATGTTCTCCAACCCTCTACCTACACATCCCCAAACAGTATCATAAAAGTCAGTATGCAGGAGAAAAAATTTTATAGTCATTGTTTGAAGACCTGTTTATTAGAAAGGTGCTATTGGAAGACAATTCATTAGAAAGAAGCCAGTGAGCAGCCACAACAACAGACATGAAGGGGGTTGGAGGGCAACGGACGACAGCCACAGTGCTGTAACAGAACCTGATGGTCAGTCCTAAATTTAGGTAGTTCACAACACTGTTAGAAAGCAGTTACCAGCGTTCAGATAAGGCATTCTAGAAACACTTAGATAAAGGACAAGATGTTCATTGGTATCCTGTTTAAAGGCCTAGTCCATCTTGAAAGATCAACAGTGAAATTTGAAAATCAAACATTCCTCCCCCCACTCCCAGGTATGTAAGAACCACCTGCTGGCATCTGTACTTAAGTGTCTGAAATAAAACAGGCCAAAATTGCCAAGGTTTGGGCAAGGGCTTCTTTGATTTAGCACCAAGTAAAATAAAGAGTACATCTTCCTTGAAGGTAGTTTTTTTTTTTTTTTTTTTTTTTTTTTTTCCTCACTTTGGGCCACAATATATAAGGAAATGTCCTACTAAGGAATCTAAAGGGACCAAAGTTTAGATTGGCTTCTCAGGCCTGGCTTAGTGGTACACACCTGTAATTTAAGCACTTGGAGGTTTAAACAAGAGGGTCATGAACACGAGGCCAGCTTGGACTACATCATTTCACGCTAGCCTGGGCTACATAGTGAAACCCTGTCTCAAAAACTAGGGGCTGGGGCTAGCTGTGGTGGCCCATACCTTTAATCCCAGCACTTGGGAGGCAGAGACAGGTGAATCTCTGTGAGTTAGAAGCCAGCCTTGCTAACATAGTTCCTGGGCAGCCAGAGCTACATAATGAGATCCTGTCTTAAGAAACAAACAAACCACAAAAGAAAAAAGAAAAGACTAAAGGCTGGAGAGACAGCACACTGGAAGGGTGCTTGCCCAGCACACAAGGCTGAGTTGGAGCCACAGTGCTGTAGGCAGACAAGGAGCCTGCTTAGATAGTACAAGAGTTGTTTCCCTTTGAAGCAGAGTGGCAACTGGTAGTGCACAGTGATCCCAGCACTTGAGAGGCTGAGACATAGTCCTCAGCCTGAGTGGCACGTGAGGACGTAGGACTATCCACTGCTGTTTGCCAGTACATAAATCATACCCCTCAGTATGTGCATGCTTGGAAAAGAAAACAAGCCATATCAAAGTCACATGTTCTTAAGTGCCAATGGCTGCATTTTCATAGCAAATTGGAAACTTAGTAAATAGAGGACACAGCATGGTGGCTGTGCCCTCGCTTTTTCCTGTAAAGGCAGCAGTGAGTTTGCATCTGTAAATAAAGCCAGTTGCTTTCTGGCATCTATAGACAGTCTTCCCAAATACATTTCATGGAGCTAGGAAACATTTTTTGGGTTGTGATGAGGCACTGGCTTATGCAAAAGCCTTTAATGAGATATTTATCTGCCTCAAGTGATATGTAATTATTTTTTTAACTTTTCCAGAAAAAAAAAAATGTGATCGATTGGCTAACTGAACAGGAGGGTAGATGATTACCAGTTGCTCTTTTAATTGGGCTCTGATTTTTTTTTCTTTAAGTTTCAACATCTCTGATGTTTTCTAATTGCACATTCACAGAAGACAACTAGATTAAACATTCAGATTAAACATTCGAGGTTATTTTAACAGATCGCCTTACTTAGTGTCTGACTCATTGGCACATCCTTAGTAACATCCAGAAGAAAGCCATTAGGAATAAGTCATAATTTTCAGAGGTCTTAGGGAAAGAGCTTCAAAAAACAGAGCCAAGGTGGGGCAAGGAGGTCCTGTTTCATCCTGCTAATTACTGCCCTCCTCAGGGAGTAACAGAGGCTTTCTGGGTAGTTTCTGGAACTTTCGTCTGTAGGAAAGCATATACATGGGGCCAGATCTTGTTGGTTTCCGTTCCAGAGAATGTTTCCAACACTCCTTTTTTCCTGAGGATAAAAACAAATGGAAAGGTAAATGGATAAACCTACTGTGTGATCAGTAGTTAAGTAAATAGATTGCATAGGTCTGAGTGTGCCTAATGAGCTTTTTCAAAGGAGTCTGTAGTGCATGTGACTTCCGGAAGTCCCGTGAGCTTAGGTCACTGATCCAGTGGGAAGGAACTTGGCTGACAGTGAAACCTTTGTCCTGTGATGTAAGGGGCTCTTTAAAAAGATGTCAGCTGTCATATTGAGCCAGTGCTTCCAGTTAAGCCTATGCTAATGCTTCATGCCTTGGCAAAAGCCCTTGCCTTCTTGTAAGGGACTCAGCCTCAACCGGGTTGGCAGGTTAGAAACAAGGCCAGTCAGCCACCATCCTGCCTCACTTTGTCCACTGGAGTCTGAAAGTTTTCTAACACTCATTATCTTTCTACCTTCCTGAATCGTTTCTCCTGTCGGAGGAGTTCTCGGTTTATCCCTGGCTTGACCCCTGGCAGACCAGCCATCAAAGTATTTTATTTTACTCCAGTGTTCAGGAGCGAGAAGGAAGAAGTGTGAGGCTCAGAATTCTGGCGTTTCCCTTGAGGCTCCGAAATCCCCTAACCCACACACGATTCTTGTGTGTGCACACTGGTTTGCAGGTCACCCAAGAGCAGATATATAACTAGACTTATTAATTTCCACAAACAGGCTGTCACAACTCTGCAGCTGTTCTCACTAGGCTTTTGCTGGGACAAAGGGATCCCTTTGTTGACAAACCACAACATTTGCCGCGGTTAACTTAAATAACAGGAGCTGTTTTCTGAGTGAAATAATCTGCTACAGGGAAAAATTATGCAAAGGGAGTATTTGCATGGTAGAAGCTCATTAGCATCTCAGTTCTCAGGCAGGTAGAGAGAGCTCTGAGGAGAGCAAGCTTTGAAGAAGAAAGCTTCTTGAAGACACTTTAGCGTCAGCCACGGTGCCAGGAGTGACGTATTACCAAGGCAGAACTACAGGCACCCATTCCCTCCTCACCCTGTATTTTTGCCAGTGTAATTTCTCTAATGAAATGGAACCAGCTACAAAAATTAGTCTTCCAAAGAGTAAGGGCATTACATTTCTAGACTGGTGAACATTCCCCAATTGGGAAGAATAAGACTTAAGCTTGTTCAAATAATAGTACTGGCTATTATGAAGCTTCCTGCCTTCCTGCCTTCCTTCCTTCCTCCCTCCCTCCCTCCCTTCCTTCCTCTGGTTTCTTGAGACAGAGTTTGTCTGTGTAGCCTTGGCTGTCCTGGAACTCACTGTGTAGATCAGGCTGCCCTCAAACTCAGATATCCACCTGCCTCTACTTCCCCAGTGCTAGGATTACAGGCGCGTGCCACCACCGCCTGGCATGAAGTTTCTTTTTAAGGCCTTCTGTTTTTCATTAAGCCTATAAATCTGTGCATGAGATCTTAGGTGGAAAAGCGTGAATTTATGGCAAAAAGTACCAGGAGCCCAGATAGAAAGACCCCCAAGTCACTAATTTCTGTAGCTTTCCTTGTCCTCCCATCTTGTGTCAGAACCAATCCTTACAGGCACTTCCTCTATGCACGGCCTCTCGGGAGTGTTATTATCTGCCCAGGCACACGGCGTTCTCTGTTCTGAGTCCTTGGACTGTCAGGTGGAGCACACTCAGTACATGAGGTTCAAGTGAGACTGTCTCCACACCCTCTCTTCAACAGTGTGTGGCTGCAGCTAATCACCATCAATCCCACAGCTTTTGCTGAGGGGAAAAGTGCCTCTTCTGCTGCTGTGTTAGCAGGGCTGGCATGACCTGAGCTAAAGTCCGAAGACATTGCAGCCACCTGGGACAGAAACCCACACTGGGAATGGAGCTGAAAGGACTGAGTTTTGAAGACACTCCTTAAGCCCCTGGGCCAGCCATCTGCCATCCGTATTTGGACTTGTTGGTTATAGGACTAACCACCCCCACCACCCCACCCCTGTTTGCTTAAGCCAGTGTGAATGGTTTCTGATGATAAGCACGTGTTGCATCTCATTGCACTATACATGCTGTTTGCACAGTTTTCCTCTTTATCCATACAAGGTGACTTCCTTGGAGGCTTGTAGGAACTGAGCCTAATTGTCTGCAGAGTACCCAACAGTGGCTGCTTCAGGAGCTGAGGACTGCTCTAAGCCTGGTTATCTCCTTGCCCCTGACAGATGTATAGAGCAGGGACTATTTAATACTGGCTGACAGGAAAGAAGGGAGGGAGGGAGGAAAGGAGGGAGGGAGAGAAGGAATCAGTGGTATAGAGGAGAAATGCCTTGCCCAGGGTTATAGGGCCAGGCTTGGTATACTAACACAAGCTTAAAGTAACATCTACAGTAAAAAGTGAATCGCCAACTCTTGTAAATTCTCCCTTCAGAAATTAACTGTTAGAAATATCAGGACAGTTTGGGACTGGGTCAGATGGTCCTGCATGTTTATCCTAATGTAGCAGTGATGGTCGCCATAATTAACAGCCAGTATATGTCCAGCTCTTCCTGTGCATCCAGGACAATTTGATGAGTTACACATATTAACTCACTTTCAAGCCTCTAACTCACCCACATTTTATGATAGAGGAACCAGGCAGGGCTTGAGCAAGAGGTGAAGGTCATGTTAATCAAACAGCAAGCTGGGCTTTGAACTTAGGGCCTTCTCACTCTGGGTATATGCTCTTATTGCAGCAGTATGTACTACTTTGGCCCTGAATCATTAGCAGGATACAGTGACAGCAAAGCACAGTACTCAAGTCTTGGAAGAAGAGAGGGAAGGAGGCAGGGAGGGAGGGAGGAAGGGCGGGCTTAGGAAGTAAGGAAGAAGAACTACTTCTTGGCCTGAGTTGGGTATCTCATATGGGTAGTTCTCATATTCTGTGTATGATACAGACTTCCTTGAAGAACAGATTAAAACATGTGAGTAGAAGCTTTCAGACTGTTGACACATGATAATTCCGAGAGTTGGCTGTCATTTGAAATTCTATGCTTTCCTCTCTGGGTACAGTCGGTGGGTTCTACTGGGCTCACGACTGTGTCAACACTGGTTCCAGCCCTCTGCCACACGACAGAATGTGGTGGACATGAGCTCCAAACCTTGGATGTGGACTAGCCTGTATCCACCCTCCTAAGTCCCATGATTGACAATGGAACCGGCAGTAACCTAGGCTTACAACAATGAGTATGAGGTTTCCTGACCAGTGGCTGCAGGGTTTCACCTGAGTGATGCAGAGCTTGTGTTCTCTGAACGAAAGGGTTACTCCTCAGCCCTTCAGGAAAGAGGAAGGCGTGGCCTTTCTGGCAAATACTTGCAACTGTGCAGGAAGAACAAAGCCAGTACTCAGAAGTGGGGGAAACTAAGACAATGGCAAAACTGAGGAAAGCTAGGAGACTGAAGCCCCGCCTACTGTCTGTTACACCTAGAAATCTCTATTGCTTGAGCCAGCTGGGGTTGGGGCTTCTTTCTGGTAGCCTAGTATTTCATCTGCAAAGTGTGGAAAATCAAAGCTGATTGTATGAGAGAAGCTGAGAAAACCAAGAACTCACTGGTAATACTGCAGGACTGGCTCTGTCTGGGCTTCATACGCCTTTAGTCTCTTGATCACCGTCTCTGGTTTGTCGTCCTCGCGCTGAATCAGTGGCTCTCCTGTCAGGTCATCAATGCCCTAAGACAGCCATTAGGACATCAGCTCAGCGAATGGCACCCTTCTAAGCAGACAGCCTCTGTACTCCAATCACAGAGACGTGCTAGCATTTCAGTAAACAGGAGCCAAACTAAAGATAAATATAGCAGTGAGAACCCCCGGGGTCATTCCCATACAGTTTGGATCTGGAAGCCCCTCTCCGTTCCTAGGCCCAAGCCCTCAAGTGTTAGCTCCCAGGTGTGGGCTACTAGTAGGGAGGTGGCGGCAGACATTCCAACTGTAAGCCAGGGTTGCCAATCCTCACTACCTCTGCCTTCGCTCACACCCTGGCACAGGGTACGGCAATCAATACCTTTTCCTGTGTCAGGGTTTCTCACTGCTGTAACTAACACTGGAGGAAAACAAGCAGAAGGGACCAACTGTTTATTTGGGCACATAGTATCAGAGGGCTGACGTCTACCTTGGCTGCTTTGGGCTCATAAGCCTGGGCTTCGGGCCATCATGGTTGGAGAGTGTAGGTCTTCGTGTGTGTGTGTGTGTGTGTGTGTGTGAGAGAGAGAGAGAGAGAGAGAGAGAGAGAGAGAGAGAGAGAGAGACTGCCCCAGTGACCCACTTCTTCCAGTTGTGTTCCACCTCAAAAATGACACCATCAGTTGGGGACCCAGCCGTCAACCCATTGAGCCTATGGGGGACATTGCATAGTTACAGCATAGCACTTGTGAATGAGGAACGCGCCTGTGACGGAGGAACACAGCTCTTCACTAGTAAGCTCGGGTGGATCAGACCCATTAAGTAATACCGGAGCAGTAGTCTTGGGCAGACAGAGGATGTCCAAGCTGCAGAGCTTTGCCTGTGAGGGTAAGAGAACTCGGGGATACTGTGCTGTGTCCAGTGCCACTGCAGTTAACTCACCACAGTTTTGGGAGGGTTGAACTCAATGTTGTACACCCGGCCACTGGCAGGGTGGATCCAGCGAGCTGTAAGGCGTTGTTTAATGACCTCAAAGGGCACGTTGAGGTTTATCACTGTGTCTATCTGGTAAGCTTTATCCAGGGCTTCTGCCTGTGGAAGTGTCCTTGGAAACCCTTCATATGAGGGGAAGGGAGGAAAAGACAAGGAAGAAAAAGGGTTAGTGTTTCCGGGCCTGTGGATCAGAAGTGTAGCACAACTGTGCTCGAATATTTTGGCTGGGCTGCAGAGTGCCGAGATATTTGGTCAAACATGCTGAGTGTGCATTCAGGGTGTTTCTGTATAATACAGCACATTGCTCTCCCCTGGGGTGGGTAAGTCTTGGAGAAACAGTTGGAAGCCTGTGTAGAAGAAGAGTAACTGGTAAGCATGCCTGCCCTCATGCTTACCAGTCAAACTGAATTCAAGTCAGGTGTGATGGCACGCCTGTAATCCCTCGGGAACTGGAAACAGGAGGATCAGGAGTTCAAAGCCTTGGCTATGGGAGACTCTGCCTTAGAAACAAATAAACAAAAGGGGCTAGAGATGGCTTGTGGTTTAAAGCTCTTGCTGCTTTGGTATAGCACTCAGGTTCAGTCCCCAGCACCCGCTTGGCAGCTCAAAACCATAACTCCAGTTGGAAGGGCTCTGATTTTCCCTTTTGGTCTCCAAGGGCACCAGGCATGCACATGGTACACATATATAACACGTAAGCACAACACCCATAAATCTTAAATGAAACAAGTGTGCATCACCACACTTGGTTCTCTAAAACAAAACAAATTTAGAAAACAAAAAACCCTACAAAATAACAAAAAAAAAACCAACCAAACCCTGAGTACCCTCATCCAGTGGCTTCACACCACCTACATAACTCCAGTTCCAAGGGGTGGGGTCTGACACCTTCTGACCAACAACACCTGCACACACACGGACACAAAATTTGTAAAATAAGACAGGAATGGTGGCGGCACTCAGGAGGCAAAAGAGGAAGGCTAAATTCTGAATTTGAGGCCAGCCTGGTCTACATAGTGAATTCCAAGGTAACCAGGGCTACACAGTGAGACCCTATCTTGAGGGGGGGGCATATCAGGAGGACATCATCTTTACTCAGAATCTCAGAAGGTTGTTTTGGAATATGACAGAAAGCAAAATACAGAGAAGCAGGTCCTGACATAAGAAACTTTTTTTTTTTTCAGTCAGAACATCCCTACTCTAGAAATCTAGATCCAGTGATGTCAGAGAATGTCTAACTTGGGATTTGGGGTGTTCAGGATGCTCAGTTGAAAGTACAAACACTCTGAAATAGGAAACATGTGGTCTCAGGCATCTGAAAACTAGGATACGCAGCCAGTGCAGCTAAAATAGTTTAAACAATGTGAGCAAAAATACAGAGAAAAGCAACTAGAACTGATTATTGAATCCCAAAATAGACACAAGTACGTTGGGGAATTGGAAATGGTATTCTGAGCCCAAATTTTTTACTTTACAATGTTATGACTAGGAACATTCTGTCCAGAACACACGGCAAATTAAAATAGGTGGGAATGATACATTTCTCAAAGGTAACAGAGGTTAAAATAAATATGCAATGATTTGTTAGAGATAAAAACACATCTTGCTAACCCTGAAACATGGAAAATTTTGCTTATGACTTAGAACTTAAATGTCATAAAATAACTATTAAGGAACCTGGATTGGGGGAGGGGCGAGCCTCCAAAGGAAACTAATGGCAAGAGGTTCAACCTGCAACACTTTAAATAGCCCCAAGTTGAAAAAAATAATAAGCATTTACTATAAGATTTATAATGAAGTAAGTCATCCTGAGAGAAACAATTTTAATATCTTTAATGAGACTAATCAGAGTATAATAACTCATGCCACAGAATGCTTTCAGATGCCAACATCCGTATGTTAAAGGTTTATAGGGACCATTTCTTTCAACTGCCCTAACAGTCCTAAGAGAGATGCTGTTGTTATCTCCACTCTACAAATGAGGAGACAGGCAGAGCAGCAGCAAATCTCTTGCTGTCACTCATCAAGCTGTTAAACAGTGGTAGTCACATGTGAACATAGCAGTCTATCTAACCTGACGCCTGCACTTGTAACCAAGGATAAGTTACTGAACTCCTCCTCTGCTGAAGTCATCTTTTGATGAGCATTGACATGGGACACAAGTATCTTCCACGTCCTTTGCCATTTGCAGAGCTCTATCCACTTAACTCTTTGCCAGATGGCTTTCTTACCAATTTTTCAATCATGTTCTTTCCAGCTCCCTGACCAGGTCCAGCCAATCCATTGGCTACAGTCCATAAATCAGTGTGCAATTGTATATTTGGCCATTTCTCCTTCCAAATAAAATACATGATCATGTGCACTGCCCTAAGTTCTGCTCACCTGTGAAGATCTCCCTGCACAGGTATCTTCCAGGGTTGTCCCAGAAAGGGGTTGTAATGTTGCAGCTGTCCACTTCTGGGTGGTGACAGCATAATGCTCAGAACCAACAGTAAAGCAGGCCCTGGTCTTCTCTTCCTCAGGACACAAACCATGAGGCTAAGGTGCATGCTTGGCAGCAGTGTGAGGAATGTGCTGTCTCCAGAATCCAAATAAGCCGGCTAAACATTGTGTTTCTTGCCTAGTGGTTGGAGAGAGCCAGGTGCCATACTTTATCCTTCACTTTAGAAGGATTGTCTCTGCATGCCCTACATACTGGACTCCTAAGAATTTCACGGAGGTGGAAGGTCCTTGAGTTTTGGTTGGATTTGTCCCCCATCCTCTGACATGCACATGTGTTACCAATGAGTTCAAAGTGGTTGCTCCTGCTCACTTAGTCCAATCAGCGTAATGTCATCAATATAGTGCACCAGAGAAATATTTTGTGGAAGAGATATATGATCAAGATCCTTTCTAAGTAAATTTTATGACACAGGGCTAGAAAGTTAATATATCCTTGAGATAAAACTGTAAAGCCTCAGCAAATTTCTTCTAGTGGCCCTTATGAACAGGTACCAAGAAAAATGTATTTGCTAGATCAATAGCTGCATACCATGCACCGAAAGATGTGTTGATATGCTTAAGTAAGAGCATCACATCTGGTACAACAGCTGCAATTGGAGTCAGAACTTGAGTTTTTGGTAGTTCCCTGTCATTCTCCATGATCCGTAAGCCTTCTGCACTGGTTATGGAGCATTAAAGGGAGATGTGGCAGGGACCACCACCCTTCTTGGGAGTGGCACTAATTTCTGCAGTTTCTCCAGGGATGTAATACTGTTTTTGATTGACCATTTCTGGCAGAGGCAACTCTAAAGACTTTATTTACCCTTTCCAACCATAATATTCCTCAGTCCACAGGTGGGAACCAATATGAGAATTCTGTTAATTTCTAAGTGTATCTTTCCTAATTACATATTCTGGAACTCAACCACAGGATGAGTTCGGGAACCCACTGGACCTTTTTTGAGTCAAACAACAGCCAAAACTCCATTAATCTCCTGGCCTCCATTAGCCCCTACTTTACCTGAGGGCCACAGTGTTGCTTGGGATCTCCTGGGATCAGTCAGGGTCAGTTCAGAACCAGTATCCAACAGACCCCAGAAAGTCTGATTGTTTCCTTTCCCTTAGTGTACAGTGAGCCCATAAAAGGCCATATGTCCCCTTGGAGAAGGACTAGAGAAAGGCTAACAGTAATACTTTTATGTGTCTCATCAAGGTCCTTCCTCCAGGGAGCCTGGCCATCCTTATATTCAAGGGGTTCTGGGCCTGCAAACTGGCTCAAGTCTGGAAATTGGTTCATGGGCTAAGATGACCCTTTGCCGTCATACAGGGTAGCCTTTCTTTCATTTGTTTGAGAAAGTTTCCATTTATACAGATCGAATAGAAAGGCAGTAGGCTTCTTATCTATTTCGTGGCTGGAAACACTGTGATTGATTAGCCAGTGCCAAAGGTCCATATGTGTCATGACACCATACAATCACTTTGCCTGTGCTGACCATTATGCATCAACACTGCTTTGCCTGTGCTGCCCATTACAGTAACTACAATCACCTGACCTCCGCTGCTCTGGGCCCAATTAAACACATTGCATTTAATCTGTCCAGCCCTGAGGTGTGGCACAAGGAGAGGGGTGACAACAAAGTTCTTCAAATGTACTGGTGCCCCTCACCATTTTGTGTGTTTTACAGGACCAATAAGGGCATGTATTCCGGACCTTCCCATTGTGAAGGGTTAGGTTTTACACGCCGTGCCTACTCTCCCCCATCCCCCACCCTAAGACAGGCTTTCTCTGTGTAACAAGTCTGGCTGTCCTGGAGCTCAGTCTGTAGACCAGACTGGCCTTGAACTCACAGAGTTCCAACTGCCTCTGCCTCCCGAGTGCTGAAATTAAAGGCATGCACCACCACCACCAGGCTAGCCTACCTACTCTTAACATAGCAATTTCCCTGAGCCTTAAAATCCCTTCATCAACACTAAGCCAAGGGATATATATCAAGTGCCTCTAACTCCTTTCCAGTAGACCATCTTCTGATACATTCTGATCTTTAGCCAACCACTCAAACAAACTTTTGACACCCTTTTCAACTGTGTGAACTTCCATATCAAACCTAGAATGTCCACTCAGTGAGTTTGTATCAATAAACTCAGCCCGGCCCAGGTTTATGTTCCTTCTACCATTATCCCACACCCTTAAAATCTATTCCACATGTAATCAGACCTGTGTTTGAATGAATTAGCAGACTCATTAAGCTCATTAAGCAGTGTAGCACATTTCTTCATGGTCCACTGCTTAGCCTTAAGTCTGGTTATAGGTCTAGAGGCAACTATTGGCAGGCCCTGAGGCACCACTATTGTCTTGCCTGGCATCTGCTTCAGAAAAACTTACTGTTGGTTTAGCAGATAATGAAGGATTAATTTCCCTAGTCAAGAGCAGAAAAGGCAGTGTTTCAGGGGTGGAGCACATCTTCTGCTGAGGGTGGAGAGGCTAATCCTCTGGTGAGATAAACCCTTGAGAACCTGAGGGTTCAAAATTCTCAGCTTCAGTGGGGTCCCCACATATCCCCATCCGGTTACAGGGTCCCATTCTTGGGCCTTACTTGAACTGCTGACACCCTCCAAGGCTGGGACTTGAATTTTCACTGTAATTCAGTCAACTTCATAATGAGGGATTTTGTTTGATTTTCTGAAACTTGAGCTCTGTGGCCTCTGGAGAGAAGAACTCTTCCAGGACACATGTAGAAGCTCTAGACAGTTCATGCACACCTTGAGTTTGTTAATTTTATCAGTGAGTTCAGTGTCCTTCACCACATTCTGAGATGCTAGAAGTTGGCTAATTTGATCATGGAGCTCATTCTTTTCCTTGGTTAGTTTATCCAGGGATGCCAGGAGCAACCTACCAGCATCATCATTTTCCTTATGTTTCCACAAATTGTCGAAAAGTTTAATGTACAGAGTCACCAAATCAATTTTGCCTCTCACAATTGGTGAATCAGGATAATCAAATATATTCGCCTCCTTAAGTCTGTTTGGTTTGGTTGATGTTTTTTGTTTGTTTGTTTCAAGACAGGATTTCTTTGTGTAGCCCTAGCTGACCTAGAACTTGCTCTGTAGACCAGGCTGGCCTCAAACTTACATCAATCTGTCTGCTTCTGCCTCCTGAGTGCTGGGATTAAAGGCATGTATCACCACTGCCTGGCTATTTTTCTCCTTAAGTTTGTAAAATAGTTCATACCGTGGGCTTTCAGCACTCTTTGAGCTGCTAGGACAGGCTTTGGTAACTGGAAAGGCCTCAGTGTGTATCAGCAAATGGAAAGCCCATTCAAGATCATTTTAAAATTTCATCCTTATACTTTTTTTTTTTTCTGTTACTTTCAAACCACTTCTGGTAGCAAAATTTGTATCTGTATTAGTCAAGGTGTCTAAAGGAACAGAACTTACAGAAAAATATATATGGGACTTATTAGGATGGCTTACAGGCTGTGGTTCAGCTAGTCCAACAATGGCTGTCTACCAGCAGAAGGTCCAAGAATCTGTAGTAGTTCAGTCCATGAGGCTGGATGTCTCAGCTCATTTTCAATATACACTGGAATCTCGAAGAAATAGGCTCTAATGCCAGTGATGGAATGACTTGCCAGCGGGCGAGCAGGCAAAGAGCCAAAGCTTCCTTCTTCCATGTCCTCTACATGGGTTGCCAGTAGAAGGCATGGACAGGGTAAAGGTGAATCTTCCCACCTCAAAGTACTGGATTAAAGGTGGGTCTTCCCGCTTCAAATTTTTTAAGGAAAAAAAAAAAAAAAAAAAAAAAAAGCCCTCATAGGTTTTTCCAGTGCTTGTGTTTCAGTTAATTCCAGATGTAGCTGACAACCAAGAATAGCTGTCACAGCGTATATGTCTGTGTGTGTGTGTGTGTGTGTGTGTGTGTGTGTGTGTGTGTGTGTGTGTCACAGTTTTAATAATAATAGTGTGTTGAAAAGTCTTGGTCCCCAGTTTTCAGATCCAGTCATTGAGAGGTGGTTGTGATTACACACATACGGTCAATGACGCCATGAAGACAACAGGCTCGATTCAGTCACACTCTCAACAAAGTCAGAAACAACATGCGCAGCAGCATGGACTGAAAACTCTGAAACTAGAAGCCCAAATAAATCATCCCTCTTTCCAGTTGTCTCTCTGAAGTATTTGTCAATCCAGCAAAAAGAAAAACAATATTAAGGCCTGATGGTGGTGATACACACCTTTAATCCCAGCACTCAGGAAGCAGAGGCAGTTGGATCTCTGTGAGTTTAAGGCCAGCCTGTCTACAAAATGGATTCCAGGAGAGCCAGGACTATTTCAGAGAAACCCTGTTTTGGAAAAAAAAAAAAAAAAAGGATATGTATGTATGTATGTATGTATGTATGTATGTATGTATGTGTGTGTATACATACAATATATTAAATATTATTTAATAGGGAGAGCAATACTTAATATCTAATAATGATGGAAGTTTGTATACATGTGTACTTTTTTTATTACTGTAGAGAATGCCTGTTTAAAGAAAGGCAATTAAACATAGTTGCTGTAGGAGGGTATGATCATTGAGGATGCTGTTTCTCATAGACATTTTCATCTGATTTAGTTTTTCTAAAGGAAAAGCCATTGTTACAGTACGACAATGAAGAAATAAAAACAAAACAAAAACAACAAAAAAAATTCCACATTCCAGTCCCTTCCCCTGTTACTCTGTCTTGAGCCTAGTCGCCAGATATACTCTATTGATGGCCATGGGCCCTTGGGAAACTTTCTACTTCCTTGTGCTGGGCAGCATCTACACTCAACCTTCATGTACCCCATTCCTTCAGCTAAAGAGACCCACACAGGCTGCCTGTCAACAGTACTTCTAAATCCCAGCATCTCACAGAAGCAAGACTTCATTAACCCTGAGGATAAATATGTATCCATATTCTCTACCAGAAGAGGAGACACACACCCACCTGCCCTTCACACAGCTCTCTGTTCACATCAACACTGAGTCTAGGCTTGTCCAAACTTTTCTATTATAATATATAGTCCATAAAAGCAAAGACTTTGTTCTTGCTTAGGTTCAGTGCCTAGAATAGCTCTGTGTACTTAGAAGACACTCAGTCAACATTTATGTCATGAATAAATATATGTTAGGCTGGCATTCACAGTCTCTGGTCTTTAGCATGGTCATTACACACCAAAGACCTTTTATAAGTGTTTAAAGAAATTTTAAGTCCTCGAGATTCTGTGCACATACTGATGGACATATACAGGCAACGTTAAGCTTTTTATCTTCTGATTCTAGCTCTCATAAACCAGAGTAAGGAGTTCTGCCCTGCCTCTCTCTCCCTCTGTTCATTCTCTATGTCACCTTTCTGAGTCATCTAGAACTTTTCTGCAGTTAGGGACTACCACAGCTTCTCTGCCCGCTAGTAAGCAGGGTGACAGCAAGCTGAGCTGCAGGGCACAGCGGCAGCACTGAGGAATGGTGTGTGAAGGTGGAGGGTGGGGCTAAATGAAGAGAAGAGACAGGACCGGGTTGGCACACTCCTTCCAAGATGGGATTAGAACTTTGATCTTGAAGGGAAGCATCCACGTTTAAGGACCTCCTCTGGGTCCTCCCTACATCAGCAAGCAGCGTAGACAAGCCACCCTGCCCTGAGACTCTGTCAGGACTCTGGCTGGGAAAGTCTTTAGTGTGTTGTAAGGTACTTTTCCATCTAACTGCTTTTGTGCAGATCCTTTCTTAGCACCAAATATTCTAAGCTGGGTATGGTGCTGCCTGCCTGGAATCCCTACTCTGAGGGGAGGATACTGAGGCAGAAAGCTCACAAGTTCAAGGTCAGCCTGGGCTACATCATAAGACTTTGTGTCAAAAAGCAAAACAACAGAAGTTTAAAAAGTGGGAAGGAAGCAGTCTAGAAACCATGCAGACCAACAAACACCCTCTTTCCTTTCAAATAAAGAACCAGACCAGGGGCTGGCAACATGGCACAGTGGTTAGGAGCATGACTGTTCTTCCAGAGGACCTGGGTTCAATTCCCGGCACCCACATGGCAGCTCAACTGTCTGTAACACTAAGATCTGACACTCTCACATAGCCATACATGCAGGCAAAACACCAATTCTCGCAAAATAAAAATAATTCATAAAAAGTATATTAAAAAAAAAAAAGAACCAGACCCCTGGGCTTGGGATATAGCTCAGTTGGTAGCAAGCCTGCCTAGCATGCAGGAAGCCCTGAGTTCAATCACCATGACACATAAACAAGCTTGGCCACTCATTCCTGTAGCCCCAGCAAAAACAAGAGGATCAAAAGTTGTAGTTCATCCTCAGCTACATAGCACACTGGAAGCCAGTAGGGGCTACATAAGACCTTGCCTCAAAGTAAGTTAACCAGTTCACTAATTCAGTCTTAAAATTAGGCTCAAAGGTGACTGACTGCCCTCCTGACTGTCCCTTGTCCCAACTGCTCTTTCTCCTGCTGGCAGTCATTACTTGGGGCAGCGGAGATACACTCTGGACACTGCATATCTGCACTTACCATCCAACAGCCAGCTACACTGGGTGAGGTTTTTCAGCTCGTGAAGGGCCAGCCGCGTCATGACATCATCTGGGATGAGCTTCCCTTGGTCAATGAAAGTCTTGGCCAGCACACCAATTTCTACAGAAGAGGGAAGAGCCAGTAAGTGTTTGCTTTATCCCATTCCAGATCTCAGAATCCAATTTCTACAGATGCTCCCAGAAGTCAGGCTCATGAGAAAGTGCATGCTACAAGCAGAGGTTACCTCTGGACACAGTGGCGCACATCTGAAATGCCAGCAGGAAGGAGGATGCCGAGTTCAAGGCCAGCGGCAGTACATACGTGGGGTTGAGGTCTCTATGCTACAGAGGGTCCTGTCAAAACAAGCGAACCAAAGGGGAAGCGAAGACAGTGGGGCTGCCGTAAGTTCAACCCCAATCTGATATACATACCAAGTTCCAGGCCATCCAGGGCTATTCTACCCCTACATAGTTATACAACTTTCAGGTACAGAATATTTCCCAAGAGATACATTTTAAAACAAAACATTGAACAGCAAACTCCCCCTCAACCATCGTTCCTCCTTCCCGTGAAACAGCCTGAAAGCCTTCATCTTCCAGACCTGTCTCCTGCTTCCTCGTTGTGCTTCAGGACAGAATTTCAGCCCGGTTCCACAGGCAGTAGCACAGCATCTGCCCAGCATGCTCACGGTCCTTGTGACTGCCTTCAGCCCACCCCTTTCCTTTCCCACAGGCACGCTTCCTTCCAGGCACACACCCCTACTAGGAGAGTAACAAACCGTCCCTAGTGTTAGGATTCAGGCATTGTGCTGGCCTGCCCCCCCCCCAACAAGCTGCTATGTCACTATGTAGTCTGCACGCAGGTGCAAAGGTCCCTTTAAGAGGCAGACTCAGCCCACTTCTGCTTTTTCCCACTGTTCCTCTGAAGGGGGCCATAGGCCTTTCCTGTCCCTTTCTTCTTCTCTTTCTCTGTCTCTCTCTCTCTCTTTCTCTTCTTTCCCCCCTTTCCTCCCCTCTCCCCCAATAAAACTTTCCACTTAAGCTCTGTTTGCTTGGTGTGTTTGTCCCTTGCCCACCATGGGATCTGTCACAGTCCCACCTCTAGCTATATTATAACCCTTGCTCCTTCTTTGATAGATAATAGGACTCTTCACCAGATTTTGGATGTGGTTTATCCAAAATAAGCAAATCAAGACACAGATACGTGTTAGGGTGGCCTGACATTCATGAGCCAGAACTCATTATAAAATCCAGCACCCAGAGAAGCAATGTTGAGAAGAGGTAGCCTCTCTGAGGTGTCTGGGTCCTGAGTTCACCCTCATAAGGAGATAATGATGCTGGGTGAATTCTCTGGGAGCGGGTCCTACGTAACTGCTTGCCACACTTTCTCACTTCCTCGTGCACCCACGTGCTCTTCCACTTGCCTGCATGGAATAAACTAGCACAGACCTTTGCCAGCTGCAGAACCAGATCTGTGCACTTCCAATCCCAACAACTGTGCGCTGGATTAGCTTTTATTTTTCTTTTTTTCTTTTTTTTTTAATAAATTATTCAGTGTCTAGTCTTTGGTTATAGCAATGAAAACAAATTATTTTAAAAGACTTACACGGCAAGAAAGCCTCAACCTCCTAGGTAATCAGGTTCCCCTCTAGGCTCCTGTAATGTCACAAGGGCTTTAGAGCACCTGCGCGCACGTGCGTGCGTATGTGTGTGTGCATGAGTGTGTGTGTGTGTGCATGAGTGTGCACTCTCTCTCTGTCTCTTTCTTCCTCTCTCCCCTGAAGTCATGTGCTAATACTGCTATGGACTGAGCAGTCCCAAGTCCACATACTGAAACTCTAACCTAACCCCGACTGTGACTATATTTAGACTATTTACCTTTAAGAAGGTAATAAAGGTAGAATGGGGTCACAGGGTGGGACCTCCATTTCACAGAAACTGTAAACACTGAGGGGAGATAGTGGGAGTGCCTGAGCACAGAAGAAAAGCCACAAAGTGAGATGTGGCTGGCTACCTGCCAGAAAGGCAAGCCTCACCAGAAACCAACACTTCCAGAGCCTTGATCTTAGACCTCTAGGCTCCAAAAACAATTCTGCTCTCTGAGCCACCAGTCAGTGGTGTGCTATTATGGCCGCCACTGTGACTAATACACACATCCATGTCCACTGTGAGCACCTCCTGTGAAATGTCCCACCCTGTGTGCATGACTAATGGACCCACAGAACACTGGGTAGATGGATCAGTATGTGGGCATGGACGAGGGTCAGGGTTCTTCGGAGGTCTATATGATGTTTTATTAAATAATGAATCTATGCTGTGGGGGATGAATGAGAACAAAATACAATGACACATATGTATGAAGTCATCAAAAGAAACTTTCCTTTGTTTTGTATATGAAAAATGAAAAAAAAACCCCAACAATTTAGCAGCTTACTTTTTATGACAGTAGTCCTGAATGTCTCTTTTTTAAGGCTGCTCTGAATGATGTAGATGCAAAACAATGGGGGGAAAAAAGCTAATTCAAATATCAACTAAACAAAATGAGAAACATCCATATAATGCAAAAGTCCTAAAATTACAGCATGAGGGGATCTTTAAATGCCCAAGTCAAGCTGGGCAGAGTGGCATTCACCCCAAGTTTCAGTTATCTGGGAGGCTGAGGTAAGGGGATCACTTGAGCCAGGAGTTCATGTCCAGCCTGACACAGTTTGACAATCTCAGAACAGCAGACACAGCTCAGAGGTCAAAGAAGCTTGCCACTGAGCTTTACACCCTGAGCTGGGTTCCTGGACCCATGTGATAGAAAGTGACTCACCCACCCACCCGCAAGTTGTCCTCTGACCTCCACATATACACCATGTCACACATATACACAAGTACACACACACCCTACGTAAATGAATATAATTAAGAAAATTAGTATGCTAAGTCAAAGAAGTCAAAGAGAAAAGTTCATAGACTACCATTTCATGTCTGTGACATGTCCAGAATGTGAGAAATGAAAAATATAATAGTGTTGCCAGAGGCTTAGGTGGGGTGGGTGGGGATAGGGGTGACTCATAGGTATGAGGTTTCTTTTGTGGGTAATAAAAATGTTCTGAAGTCTGTTGTGGTGACAGTTACCCAACTCGGTAACACACTAAGTGCATCAGGTTTTACATACCTATACCTTAAATGCTGAAGTTACAGGGCAGTGAATCATCCCAGCAAGGTATTGCAGGGGCAGAAATAAACAGCTCCTGGAAAGCATACTGTTGACTCTTGAAGGTTCTGTACATTATGGACCTGTGTTAGCACCAAGTCATGTAGGCATGAAATATCTTACAAGGCTCTCATCACTAAATATTCATTTCGATGTTTTTTGGAATTGCAAACCTTGAAAACAACCTGTTCTACCATCAATCTAAGTCTAGTTATACACACTATGCTCCATGGTCCACATGACAAGGCTTGGCCATATGGAGGACAGCTGGGGGCTAGAGATTATCTACTGAGTTAGCCTCTCCTAAAATACAGATGGTAACAAATGAGACTTAAAGGGTTGTTTCTCTCATCTGGCACCACAGATTTAACACCCACCAAGGAGCCAGACCAGGCTGCTGCCCATATGCTCACATCTGCCACACCTGAATCACTATGCTCCCTTTAAGCAGCACACCTTCTGAATGAGCCAACATGTTCACAAAATGTAAGTTCTTTTTGGCAAATACACCTTGAAATAAATAAAAAGTCTATCTAAAATGACCTCATGAACCTCAATTTGGTAAGTACTGCACTGTGGAAAGAATATATAACTGACACCTGGGGCCTGAGTTTTCCACCCTGGTACCCCAGGAAATGCCGTTTCTTTTTGTTTTGGGTTTTGTGTATATGGGAAGGAGTTCATGAATCGGAATCTCACCCTTGTCTGGGGCCCAGACTAATGGCTGTGTAGCATACCAGCTTCAGGATCTGTGCTACCCAGGTGAGTATGGAAAGGAATTCTTCAACCTCTGTGGCACTCAGCTTTCTCATGGAAGGTGTAAGTCTCAGACTCAGACCTTCAGATTCCACTGTCCTGGCTGGTGCTCTATCTAGGGTCTCGAGAGGTTTGTGAGTGTCACCAAGTCACCTCGAGTTTCCAAAGCCATTATCGTCTCTCTCGAGCTGTTTTTCTCGCATGCACTTTTTGTTTTAATGAATACAACGCACAGCTTGCATTTCAAGTTAAATATAGAGCCGAGGAAGGTGTCTCGGTCCAACAGTGAGTAATGGTGAAGTGAATACTCCTGGAAGGATTGGATCCCCCCACTGCCACCAAACACATTTTAGCCTATATAGTCAGTGTTATAAAATAGCACTTTCGTGAAATGATAGTGAGTCCCTAGAATTCCACACTTGGAATTCACTCAGAGGAAAATAAGCAAAGTGGCAGCCAGCTGTTTGGGTACCCAGGAGCATTTATTACAGCCAAGAATGGTTAACAACACAAAAATGTCCAATCGGTAGGAGTCTGCAGAGCCAGCTCCGAGGCACAGGGCTTGTTTGATGTACACAAGGCTCAAGATTTGGTTTCTGGCACCAAAAAGAAAAAAAAAGAAAAAAAAGAAAAAAAATCAATAGCTAATAACAGGCAAAGTTTAAATTAATTGTGCAGTCTTCCTGAAATTAAGTTTGAGACTTGATATATAAACATGCTTACAACAAATGAGAATAAAAAGGTATCTTATCTAATAACAATTGTACAACTGCACACAAATGCAACAAGGAAACAGAAAAAGAAAAGAATAAAGGAGAACACACCACAAGGGTAATCAATCAATCATGTCCCTGATGAGGCAGCTTAGAGGGTGTCAGTTCCTCTGCTGAATTCTCAGTCCTTTCTTAGGATTTTTTTTTTTTTTTTTTTTTTTTGAGATTATTTCTCCCTTGGTTGTTTCTGTGGGAAATATCCAATCCTTTCACAAATATTTATTGGGGCTATATTCTCAGCCTGTCCCACGGGACCTGCTGGATACCATTTAATGAAAAAAAAAAAAATACTCTGTATAATGAACTATTAACAGCTGTGAAAATATTTCATGACACTCCCCAAGCTGCTTCTTCTGTTCCTACTAAGGAACTACCCATACTTCTTTGAAGAATAAGTGGCCTGGCTATCCCAGGACCTGCCAGTTCCAGATTTCAGGAATCAGCTAGATGAGCCAGACTCCGTGGAAACCATCCCTAGGGATCTGCCCTGGCTTCCTCTGAGATCTGTAACTTTTCCCAGCTGTTCAGAGACTAACTCCCTGTGTGTACCTTGAACTTTGACCTACAAAGACTTCTCTCACAAACCTCAGTTCTAGCAGGGCCTGGAGGGTGTGCAATCCCAACACATAAGAGGTTGAGGCAGGAGGATTGCTATAAATTCAGTATCAGCTAGAGGTACTGTGTGAGACCCTGTTAAAACAACCACCCACTTCTGCTAACGAATCTTGAAGGTTTTAAGAAAGTGTTTGTCCTTCCGTGTCTTAACAAAAGAAAAGCATTGCCCATTTAAACTACAGAATGAGGCTGTTGGAGAGATGGCTCAGCAGTAAGAGCAACGACTGTTCTTCCAAGAGGACCTGGGTTCAGTTCGAGCACCCACATGGCAGCTAACAACTGTCTGTAACTCCAAGATCTGACACTCTCATACAGACATACATCCAGGCAAAACACCAATGCATACAAAATGAAAATAAATAAGTTTAGAAAAATTACAGAATGTGCCGGTGAACATCTTTGTAGGCCCCCTCCATGTTACAGAGTTTCCATACCTGACTCTTAACAGGTTTAAAGTGAATCAAGGAGCATTGTTTCTTAATTCAAATTCCCTTTCATTTACTCTTAAAATGCTCTGTTTTCCCACAGCAGTGTGCATTCTTTGCCACCCACAGTCAGGTGAGCTCTTAGCCTGTAGGTCACCTAAAGTCTTCTGTACTTTGGATTGCAGCAAACAAAACAGGCAGTCTCCAGGACTGGGGACTGTTTGCCCTAAGTAAAATTGCAATCTGTTGTACTAAGAACATTTAGCAAGAGCCAAACAACCTTTTGATAACGTTTAATTAACTGCAGCCTTTATTATTTTTTAAGGTCAACATTAGAAGAGAGGGAAAACATGCTCCAGGGGTGCTGAGCCAACCAGAGAAACTGGAAAGAGTGGGTTGGGTTTCTTCTCCCCTATATGAATGTCAGTGTCTTAAAAACAAAAAAACAAACAAACAAAAAAAAAAACACCCTTTTAGTTATACACCCACCAGGAGGGAGGGGAGGTTTGATAAATCATGGTAGGTTCAGCAAACTGGTGGTTAAACACACAGGGGACGGGACATATGGATGGAAGAGACCAGAGTGTGAAGACGGCTGCTGAGTAAATATATGGTAACATGATACACAGGATATACACATGTGCTTGTACATAAAGATACTTCAGGAGGAAATGCATTGTTTCTCTGAAGAACCGTAGGGGCAGGACTAAGAAAGGTTTGCTTTTTACCTTCTTTCCTTCTGTCTTCCCTTCTCTCTAGGGCCTTTACCTTTTCTTCCATTTTTTTTTTTTTTTCTTTTATCTTGAACAGGTACGATTTCTATGTAAATAAGCTTCAAATGACTTTCAAAATAGGCACTAGTTAGGTATTGAAGAAAACATCTGGTGTTAACTTTTTAAAAATAGCTTACTGTTGTTAGTTGGCTGGTGCCTGGTAATCCCAGTACTCACTAGGGAGGCTGAGGCAGGAGGATCTCAAATTTAAGTTAAAATTAACCTTGGCTACATCGAATGGCACTGTCTCAAAAAAAAAAAAAAAAAAAAAAAAGTTTTTTTTTTTTTTTTTTTCCGAGACAGGGTTTCTCTGTGTAACTTTGGAGACTGTCCTGGAACTCACTCTGTAGACCAGGCTGGCCTCGAACTCACAGATATCTGCCTCCCGAATGCTGGGTTTAAAGGCGTGCTCCAATGCCTGGCTTTACTGCTTTTCTTAAAGTAGAACTCACCACAAACCCACTCACTGTAAAGTGTAGTTTGTTGAGTTCATTTTATGCTGAGTTAGAAGATTTTGGCAGAAGAAACACAACAATTGTTTATGTCTGGGGACATGAATATCTAAGCCAATTTTGTGACTGCAAATAAGTCATACTTGACCTTGAAGAGTTTAGAAAGGTCAGAACTGCAAGATCCCACGGAGCTTACCAAAGGCGTGAGGGGTAGTGTAGAAATGAAAGGTAACTCTGGCAGAGCCAAAGCTTGCCTTCCGCATACAAGGACACGTGGAGAGCGTGCACAGCTCCCCAGGCTGGACCCCCGTAGCATCTGCCAGCTGGTCTGATATGCCACTCGAACAAAGCCTAGGGCTTATTTTGAATTTCTTAGTCCCACCCCCGCAATCTTCCCGAAGCTGCCCACCGAGGCCGGAGGTTTCAGGGCGCAGCCGCTGTTTCCCCAGGCAACATCAGGGAGCGCTGCAGGACCCTCGACCCCGGCCCGCAAAGCCCCTCCGGGACGATCGCACGCTGCCAGCCCTTGGTCTCAGCTCCCACCTGTGCCCTGCAGCATGTTCTGGCGGAGCAGGTCCCCGCTGGAGAGGTGCTTCAGCTCGAAGTGTTTGGTGATGCGCGACGACACGGTGCCCTTGCCGGAGCCCGGGGCCCCCATGATCACGGCGCGCAGCAGCCTCCCCGACGCCCCCATGGTGACAGACCGTGGCCCGAGCTGCACAGATACTGGGCTGCGGCCTGGCCTGCGCGCTCACAGGCTCCCCGGCCCCAGCGAGCTGGCAGCTGCGAGCGGGCGGTGGCCAGAGCTCCCCGCTCTCCCGGAAGTGAGCGCAGGCCACCGGGGCCGCCCCGCCCGCTGCTGCACCGCCCCTCCGCTCCGCTGCACCCCACTCCCCTCGACTCCACCCCACGCCTCTCTGCATCCCCAGACCCTCTCGCCCTGTGCTGCCTGGTCCCCAACCGCAGGCTGTGCCCGACAGCATTCTCCCCATGGGCAACCTCTGAGAGCTCCTTCCTACTTCTAGTCGCCCCTTGGCACCTCTGGGTGGCTAGATTTAATTTTCTGTGTTCATCTCTTTTCACCCTTAGCCCTTTCTAAGTCAGGCCCGGTCCTACTCAGTTCCAACAGAAAGCAGGGTGCCCCATTTTGTGACCCCCTCTGCTCCTCTGGCTTGCCAACCCCCTGCCCCCAAAACACATTTTTATGACAATACTGCCCCCCTTCACCCCATTTTCTTCTCCTCCCAGGGGTGACCTTGAACCTTTCTCATTGAAGTTCTCAACAAGTAATGCCTCAGGTCTGTGAAAGGTGTGTCTTACCTCCCAGAACGACGTGCAGAACCAAAGGTTACTGTGCAGAGGTCAAAAGAACTAGTTCCTTCAGAAATGCATTCATTTCTGGAATATTTATCCAGTGTCTGTTGTTTGCCACCGTTCTTAAGGGCCTCCCAGAATGCTGTGCTGAACAAAACCAAGGTTTGTACTGCTGGCGGGGTTTAAAAGTCTAGTGGCAGACGCAAAGGAGAGAGACCATTGGAAACAGTGCTGGCAAACAAACAAAACAAAAAACGGTGGTGGTGATGCATACCTTTAATCCCAGCACTCGGGAGACAGAGACAGGCAGATCTCTGTGAGTTCAAGGTCAGCCTGGTCTACAGAGTTCCAGGACAGCCTGGGCAACACAATGAAACCCTTTCTTGAAAACAGCAACAACAACAAAAATAAGAAGAAGACTAGAAGATGTAGGAGGGTGGGAGGGAGCTGTTTTAGAACAGGTAGCAGGAATGCTCTTGAAGCCCTGGCATTGGCTGAATATATACACTGAGCTAAGAGTGACATAGGCCGAAGGCAAGGCCCAACCACTCAAAGTCTGGCCTGCTCCAAGTTTTGACAGAAGAGAAGTAATTGAGTAGTATTTTACCTACAAAATGGACACAGATTAGTCCAAATGTATATGAGTTGCCTGTGCAGGTAGGGGCTAGCACTCAGAGGAGGTTGCCCACTGTCCATGTGGTATGGTTTCTTTGTTCTGGACACAGGAAGGAAGGACAGAACAGAGTCGTTAAAAGGTAACTCCATGTTTCAGAGGCTGCCAAATGACAGGTTCAAAACTACTTGCAGTTCCCAAGTAGAAATCACTTCTGGAAAAATGTGGCAAGGGAAAGTTACTTGCTGAGAGAGGGACCTGACCTGGTGGCAAGGTGAGGGTGGACAGCCCTGTACTTAGAAGGAAAGAATGGCTGTCACATGGTTATCACTGCACAAGAAAGAATAAAGATGAATAAATTAAACAGCCAGTGCCTGTGTGTGGGGTTAGGGAAGGAGCATGAGACAGGCCCTAGAAAAGCAAAGGAAGGGAGTTAGTAAATAGCAGGCAAGAATGGAAAGGTCTGGGCAAGAACAGATTATGCAAGACCAGACCCAGAAAACCTGACTGACGGTGGAGAAAACCTTTCTAGTCTCCACGAAGTTGGGAACATTGTGGCTTCAGCCCTCAGAGACACTTAAAAAAAATGAATCTTTGGAAATTTGGGTTATGAGGGAGGAAAATGTTCAAACAAGCTAAGGGTCGCCCAGCACCACAACAAACATACACAAGCCCGAGCAGAAGCCATACATTACTTGTTCTCTTGGAGCTAACGTCCTATTGGGGCTTGAAGACGAAGCAAACCCAGGCCTATAGAAGACATCAGGCGTTTGAGCTGTAAAGCAGAGTGTGTGGTCACATTAACAGGCCCACAGAAGCCTGCCAGTTTTGGCTTTGCTGGAGTCTGTTGATTACAGAGGAGTAAGAGGCTGCCAAACTGGGAAGTCTCCTGGCAAGCAGGCACGGGGCAGCCATTTCCCCACACACAGGCGTGTATTTATATGAGTCTTTGTTTTCCTGTTTAACTTGTACCACTGGTAATGATAGAATTCAAAATCAATACAGATCCTAACTTAAGTTTTCATCTAGCAAGAGTGCCCAAACTACATATGGCCAAATGCTTTCTTATACAGATTCATTTGCATGGAAGAAAGCTCAGATGAGTGCTGTGTGTAGTAAGCCCTCAATAAATGTCTGTTGACGAAAGAGTAAGGGTTACATCAAAGGCTGGAATATCTTAAAGCCCCAGAATGTACAGAGTGGATGGAGCAGGAACCATAGGTATGTGTTATAGGTTGACTCCCCAAATGCGGAGGTGTGGTTGATCCTGTGTCCCAGGACCTCAGAACATGACCTGATTTGGGGAAGGGCTGTAACAGGATAGTTGGGGAGATCACATCGGGATGCTCAGTTCATTCTCTTTACCAGATGCAAAGTAACAGCATGAGGACAATAGTTTGTGGTAACAGACAAGAGGCTGGAGTTGTGAGGGCTGCAAGCCAAGGGACACCAAAGAGCAGGACAACACGGATCAGTGCCTAGAGAAAGATATGGAACTGTTTCCTTAGAGGCCTTGCTAGAACTCCCAACCCTGCTGATACCTTGGTTTTGGCTCAAAATTCCCCAAACTATGAGAGAAAACATCCCTTTCCTTTAAGCACCCCAGTCCTCAGCAATTTGTTACAGCAGGCCTAGGAAATGAATCTACTTGTTCCAGAAATAAGAGTGAGTTGTCCCAGCATGAGTTAGTGAGTGAGTGAGAGGGAAGGTTCAGTGTCTAGCCACAAGAGCCTAAAAAGAAGCCAGTAGAGGAGGGAGTGTCTGACGAGGGTGTGTCTGCTACCTATTGCCATAGAAGCTGCCCCAGCCTTTGCTGGCTTAGCACAGCATGGTTTAGTTTCCCACACTGGTTCCTCATGGCTCACTGGCTTACCCGCTAGCCTGGATGGCTGGAACAGCCTGGAGAGATGAGTGTTTGTCAGTTTCCAAATCTGCAGTCTATGAAATCTGGGTTCCTGGCCCGGAAGTGTGTTGATATGTAAATCTTTCTTACATCTCTTGCCACTTCATTCTTGTGATACCTCATTGACCAAAGCAAGTCCCATGGCCAAGCCAGTGTGTGTGTGTGTGTGTGTGTGTGTGTGTGTAGACAGAGACGATTCATGAGACACCACTAACAGAATAATCTGTCTCAGAGACTCCTTAATTATCTAGTACAACTTAACCAATTATCCCAAAACTTATTAACTTAAAACAATAATAGCTAGCCAGGAAGTGGTGGTGCACACCTATAATTCCAGCACTTGGGAGGTAGAGGCAGGAGGATCTCTGAGTTTGAGGCCAGCATGGCCTACAGAGCTGCTCTGGCCCTCGGGGTCAGTCGACAGGGACCCTGAGGGAGGGAGTGAGAATGAGGGGACAAGAGACGCAAGAGATGGAGACAAGACAGTGTTCCGGTCAAGTCTCATTTAATGATTACAACCACAGGGTTTAAGTAGTGGAGAAATGAGGGAATGGGCCAGAGGGAGGATGTGAGGGAGGCAGAATGTCCTTCCAAGCAGGATGCAGGTGTGTTGCTGTAAGATAAGTTGCTATACGATAAGCTTGCAGCTGGGACTCTTTCAGAGTCATTCTGCATCATATGCATAACAAGAGAACAGTCATAGGAGAAGGGAAAATTACCAGTATGTTAGTATCTAAGAGAGTAGTAGGAAAGATGGCTGTTAAGATGCTAACTTTGCTCTGGGGTTCCCCTCACAAAGTGAGTTCCAGGACAGCCAGGACTACACAGAGAAACGCTATCTCAAAAACAAACAACAACACTGATACCTATTGTCTTATCATTACCATACATCAGAAATTCAGACACAGGCACTGCTCAGCTAGGTGCCTCTGGCTCAGGGTCTCATAAAATGCTACAGCAAAGATATTGGCTATGGCTACTATCTTCTCCAACCACAACCTAGAGGGGATTTACCTCTAAGCTGCCTGATGTTGCTGTTGGTAGATCTCAGGTCCTCAGTGACTGTTAGCCAAAGAGAGGAGTTTGCATGCTGTAGAAAGGAGCGCACATGTACCTCAGTGGTAGAGTGCTTCCCTGATGAAGATGAGGGCCTGGCTATGATGCCCAGCAACACAACCAACACACAGACCTGAGCAAGGGAAATACATTACTTGTTTGTTCTCTCGAGCTAGCATTCGGTTGGGGAGAGAAGAGGAACACAAACACAAAAGTACACAAAATGGCAGCTGTTTGGAGATGCCACAAAGAAGAATGTAGAAGGAAAGGGAGAGTCGAGTCAGGACAGAGTTACTGCTGTTACATGAAGAGAATGGGGCTGGGCAGTAGTGGTGCAGGCCTTTAATCTGAGCACTTAGGAGGCAGAGGCTGGCAGATCTCTGTGAGTTCCAGCCCAGCCAGGACTGCATCACAAGATCCTGCCAGGCAAGATGTGCTCCTGGGGCAATAATGGAATGATTGTTGTGGAACTAACTAACTTCTTCCTGTTTCGGTTTGAGACAAACTACATAAGAAGTGACTCATGCAAGTGATAATACACCTAGTCAAAAGCCTATGGCTGGGGAGGTTATAGGCTCTATGGGGCAGGGATAAAGTGGGGAGCTACTGCTGTTGTTTTTAATAAATGGAATGTTGTCAAACTACATTCTTCTTTGTGCCATGGGCAGCAGATATGCCGAGACTCCTAACTACTTTAAAGGGCTGAGAAAAGGGGAGTTGAGTGTTCAGCTCTAAATGGGACATCTCTATCAAGCGCCCCAAGTCTCCACAAGAAACATTGCGGAAAAGGAGGAAGTGTAGCACAATAAATAGACAACCCAGAGACTGATATCGGGGTTCAAGCTTCCAGCTGAAGATCAGAAAAGCAAAGCAGCTGGCCACTAGCTCTTACCTCTACCTCAGACTGTAAGGTGATCCTGGCTCCGCCAAACCTCAGACTGAAATC